TGCTGTCCGGGAGGAAATAAAAATGTAAATGTGTAGGCAGAGTCAGGGGCCGGCAAATGAAATTATAACAGGGAAATTCCCAGTCAGGGAGCCATCGAAAGTTTCCCTTCATTTCGACGACAAAAAGAAAAATGTATGTAGGCAACTAAATAAAATGCGAGAGGCTATAAAATTGAGTGCAGTTGCCCAAACAAGAACAATAATAGAAACAAAAATAAAAATAATAAAAATAAAAATAAAAAAAAGAGCGAAATGGGAATGTTTGCTGGGCACGACACCAGGAGGAGTCCCGCATTCCCCCCTCTCCGTCGGGGCCAATATTTTGACCGCAATGCTGCCAACTGTTTTGGCCATAAAGCGGAATCCGGGCTAAGCCAGAATCTATGTAAATCAACGGAACAAACGCCAAAAAGTCACAAATGAAAATGAAAATGAAATACATGCACATAATTTGTATAGAAGTCCTCCTCCCACTTTCTGTTTTCCCTTTTTGTTTTGGCCAAGAAAGCGGCAAGGTCAAAGGAGAAACTTGATTTAACCAATTAGAAACTGCGGTCGACGCCTGCTCCTCCACTTTTGTGGTAAAAGCTGGGCTTAGGCATTTAATTGATGTCGTGCTAAATGGAAATCTATAAAAATTGTAAAGCAGGGGGAAAAAATATTTAAAAGCTAATAAAAAAAATAATTTACAAAATGTAAGAAATATAAAAAATATAACAAATATAACAAATATATAAAAAAATATAAAAAAAATATAATAAATATAAAAAATATAATAATTGTAATATAAATAATAACAAAAATAATAAAATTAAATAAATATAATGAATGTAATAAATATAAAAAATGTTTTAAAAAATAAAAAATATATATATATTTAAAAATACATAATAAATATAAAAAATTAATTAAATTACCTAATAATAATATATATAAAAAAACATAGATATTAATATTAAAATTATTATAATAAATATAATTATTAATTAATATAATAATTATAATAAACATAGATATTATTTTAAAAATATCAACAATGCAACCCTCATTATTTAAATATTTATTTAATATTATTTACCAAAAACTAAACCCAAGAAAACCTCTTAGTAGTTGACTTTTCGGGGGGAAAAGAAACTGAAAAGAAAACTTTGAGGTCCTCCTTAGCAAGGACCCTCCCATCTAGACAAATAATAGCTCAAGATTAATAATGAAAATAATATTATTAGTTTTGTTTGCTGCACATTTCTCTTGCTGGCACTTAAATGACCGCATCAGCTTGGAGCCGTCGCCCCTGCAATTTCACCCTCTATATAATTTTGTTCCCTCGCATCTCGATATTTCCCCCATCGAAGAATCCTTCGAGAAGATCCCCCAACCCCCACCCCTCACCACTTTGGCGACCATCGACGCATTTTGTTTGCTGTGGATGCCAAAAGGACATGGCGGCGTCAAATTTATGGCTCTTGACTCACGACTCTTGGCATTCCGTTGCGCGCACAATGCATCTTCCCCAGGCACTATCCCAACTCTTTTGGTCATTCCATTTTAATTCCCAGCTGTATTTTTTCGCTTTAAAAAGGCATTCCACAATTTTGTAAAAGGGTCCAAAATATTTTTAGTGCCAAAAATTGCAATTATTTTTCAACTACGAAATGGTGCAGAAAATCGGTTGATTTTAAAATCAATTTAGGGATGATTTTGGAAAGAGAAGTTGAAATTTTTATTGGAAATTAAATATTAAATTAATATTAATTTAAATTGTAGTACGAAACAAATTTTAAAAATTAAGAAATATATAAATTTTAAATAAAGCAATAAATAGTTATTCATAAAATCCTCTCCTGTTTAGTTTAGTTTTCGGACATTTTATAATAAATACTATAAAAAAATAAAAAGCATTTAATAATACACTGAAACCACTTATTTTTCTGACATTTTATAATAAATACTATACAAAATAAAAAGTATTTAATAATACACTAAAACCACTTAGTTTCATATTTTTAAACGTTTTTAGATATAAATCTTTTGATCTTGAAATCGGGTTAAAAAGACAAATATTATAATGCATAATATAAATAATAATATAATATAATAATAAATATATTACATTATAATAATTTTATATAATTATTTATGCATAAACATATTTAGAATTTTTTTTATGGAATGAAAAATAGCATTTTGTAGTTTTCTATTCTCGTGTTTTAGCAGTTTTCCTCACCAAAGACTTTTAATTTTATTTCACAAGCGTAGTTTTTTTGATGATTTATTTATTATTTATTTATTATTCAAATATATTATTTATTATTCAAATTATATATTCAAAAATGTTATTTCTCATAAAAAAATTATATTTTTAAACGTTTTAAAACATAAACTCCAACCTGAGTTTGATCCCAAACAGCATCACAAAAACCCCTTAATTTTAAAATTTTATAAACACATTTTCAAATATAATTCACTTGCAAAAATATCACTTAATTCCTAAATAATAAATTAATGCTTTTACTCACTTTCTTTTTTTATTTCCAATGTTTCCTTCTCCTCTGTTCTTTCAGTTTTATTTTGTGTTCGGTTATGTTTGGTTTTCTGTACTTTCAGTTAAACACTTGCCAAAAAAAAATGTAAATAAAAATACGAAAATATTGAATTCAATTCATTAACCCGTTGATGCCTAACCGCTTCGAAATATTCGGCTTTTTTTGTGGCCAAAACCGCGCGTTCACCGCTACGCTCTGTCCGCTGGCAATCGAACGCTTCGAATGCTGAACTGCTACTTGTTGGCTTTTCTCGTCGTCCTGCGGAGAGATGCCAGGGAAAGTGCCAAGGAAAAGGAAAACAAGGGATAACAACACACAGATGTATGTGCTCGCACACAGGCGCAGCCATTCTTCGGGTTTTCCCCTGCCCTCCTCCGAGCCGAGTTCATTTTCGGGTTCACTCCGGCGAATTCGTCGAGCTGCAAACTTTATGTCGGTTGGGTTACATCGAAAGTTTCTACGCGCGGCGAAGCTTTTTCTGCACAACATTTCTCTCTTTCTCTCTTGGAGAAAAGCCGGCGCCGGCAAAAAGAAAGATTGGAGAGAAAGACAGTAAGAGCTTTCCTAGAAAGTAACCGTTTTTACATAGTTTGAATTTTTTTAAAATTTTTAACCCTTTGAAATAAATGGAAAGTCTAAATATAAAAAATTATTTAAAAAAAAACAAATAAATAAAATAAAAACAAAAATAAATAACAAATAAGTAACGAAAAAATATAATAAAAAACGAATAAATAAAATAAAAAAACAAATAAATAAAATAAAAACAAAAATAAATAAAATACAAATATAACAATTAAATAAAAAAAAATTTAAAATAAAAAAAAACAATAAATTAAATGAAAAAAAAATAAAGAACGAATAAATAAACAAAAAAAATAAATAACAAATAAATAAAATTAAAACAAATAAGCAATAAAATATTAAAAAAATATAATTAGTAAAAAAGTTGAACTTTTTTGTTTCCCAAATTCTTCCTAGAAGTGGAACTAATAATTAACTTAAATATTATAAAAATTTATTACATATTTTTTTAACTTTTTATACATAATTAAATAATAAATTTAATTTCATTTAATTACACCCCCTTTTGCCATTAAAAGAAGAACCATACTTTTGTTGTTGTATTTTTTAATTAATTCATAATAAAAGTTTCTATTTTTCGGTTGGTTGTTTTTGTTTTGTTTTTTTTTTTTTTTTTTGTTTCGACGCTTAGCTAATATATTTATTATATATATTATTAATATGTATATATCTACAATAGTTATTAGCATTATCATTATTAAACTGTTGTTTTGCTTTCTTTTTGTTTCTATTTTTTAAATTTTATGTTTTGTTTGATGTTTTCTTTAGACAATGTTAAGATTACAAAAAAAAATAAAATAAAACTCAAAAAATGTGTTTGTATGTGTTAGTTCCCTCTGGTTTTCCCCCCTCCCCCCTCTCTCTCGATCCTAATAACTTTCAACTGATGCCTCCGCCTCCCATTTTGTGTGTTTTCCTGCTTAAATAACAAACAAACAAGTGTTTGCGTTTTCCAAATAAATTATATATATGTAGTATATAGCATATATATAGCATATATATATGTATATATATCTTGTAAGACGTAATTGTAAATTGTTTATAAAAAAATTGGTTGCAATTTGAAGCTTTCGCAAAAAAATTAAAAATAATATAAATACAATTTTATTTTCTGTTTTTTTTTTAACTACGATTTTTCCCTTCATGTTTGCTTAAAGTTGTATGTTTTTATATGTAATTTGTTGTTTGTTTAGCAAATTTCCCCCTCTCCGAATGTAGACATGTTCTTGCGTGTAATTCCAACAAAACAACAAAACGAAAACGAAAGCGGTAACAAAACGAGTAACAAAAAATGGGCAAACATTTCACTGTAAAATGTTTGCTTTTTGTTTGTTTTGTTTTAAATGGAAATAAATATTGCAGATGCGATGTTTTTTTTTTTTTTTTTTTTTATAGCTAAATGTCGACTGCCTTCCTCTTTCGGGTTTTTGTTGCATTTCCGTTTCCGGTTCGACTTTTGACTCGCATTTTGGTTGTTGTCCTCGTGTAATAATCATTTTATCATCATGATTCTTCGTTCGTACTCACATGTTTCTTGTTGTTGTAGCTGTTGTTGTAGTGTTGTTGTTGGTTGTAAATATACAAATTCTTTTATATACTCTAATTGATGTATATATACTATATATTTATAATTAGATATACATATATCTGTATAATTTGTATATATTTGTAGCTGAGTATACTATGTTGACTTGTTGGTGTGTTTGTTGTTGGGGTTTTTATGGGTTTTCCTTTGTTATGCATTCTATTTCGCTTCGCTTTCGTTTTGAGGCTTCTTTTTTAGACATAATATTGCTTCTTGTTAGGTGTTTTGTTGGCTTCTAATTCTCATTTCTTGCAATTTCCTGCTTGGAGTTGTTGCTGTGGTTGCTATTTAAGATTATTCTGGTTTTTAATTTACGCTTGGCTAATTATAAATTATGTTGTAATGTTGGAGTTGCTTGTTTGTCTCGTCCTGGTTTGTCTTGTGCCGCTCAACAGTCGTCTATATATATATAAATACTGCCACCATCCATATATATATACAATGTATTTGTGAGGGAGATTCAGACTCGATCCGAACACACACAAGTGATTCATAATGCGGCTTTCAGGGGAGAAAGCAGCAGGTGTCTAGGTGTAAGGAGCAGGATGCACGCCGTTTTCTCAGTCATTGTGTGTGTAGTTATGTGTGTGTTTTGGTATTGCCACCGCCATACATCCATCATTTGCCGATGAACGATAACCAAGGCACACAATGCACCAATCCAATCATCATCGCAATCATCATCAGCTGCGCCAAAAGTAGCTCTTTTTAAGCCTAACCGACAGCTTGCGATGGACGCGCAGCCTAACCTGCTCCTGATCCTAAGTATCGTCCGACATGAAAGCGTTCTGAGTCTTCGACTCCTCAATGCGTCGTATCTGCTGGCGCAAATACATGATTCTGCAAATCAAATAAATATTTTAAAATTTAAACTTCAATTTTAATTAGTTTCCAACTCACTTTTGTTCCTGCAGTGTGGCACAAATCTCTGTGCTGCGCACCAGACTACGAGCGCATTTCAGTTCCGCACAGATTCGCGTGCAGGTAATGTCGCCAAACAGATGCGTGTCCTCGCAACACTTCTGCGCCTTCGAAAGATTACACAATTAGTGACTGCGGATTTCCAGGGATTTCCCAGCTTACCTGACGCTCTAGCACCTCTGCATGCCAGTTGGTCACGTGCGCAATTAGATCGGCGCGAAAGTATTTCGCCAGCTTGGGCGATATCTCGGGACCACGCAGATTGGCCGACTGCACCGAGGAGCCCACGCAGCTCTGCAGCGAGCTCAGCGTGGCTGATGAGGTGCCATCCACTGCAAAGATTCATCAATAACAAATAGAATTCTGGAAATCCTTGGTTCCACTTACATTTGCGCTGCTGCTGCTGCTGCGCCTGCTGCTGGGCACTCGCTGCCGCTGCTGCTGCTGCTGCCGCGGCTGCTGCTGCCACGGCGGCGGCCAACTGTTGCTGCTGCTGCAGCTCCAAGGCCGCAGCACCCTCCAGCTCTAAGGTGGGCGTGGGCGGCCCCTCGCCTGAAGTCGCGGCCACCACACTGTTGCTGCCCATCGAGGTGATCACACTGATACCGCTGACGGCCCCCAAGCCGGGCACATGGCTTTGGCTGCTGTTCGATGTGGCTGGCGAGGCGGAGGCCACGTCCAGGCTGGCCTTGAGGCCAAAGGGTGCACTGCAGGTGTAGGCATTGCTGCCGCCGCTCACATTGTTCGTGTGACCCACAATCGTGGGTATGGGGCTCTTGGTGTAGCTGCTGAGCGACGGCGAGAGGCTGTGGTGCGAGTGGGACATGTACAGCGGTGAATTGAGGCTGTTGTCCCTGCAAGGAAACGTTTTTTTTTAATGTTTTAATGGTAAACTAGGAGAAACCTACCGTAAGCTGCTTAGACTGCTGCCGGAGACCGAATTATTAACAGAATTGTAGGCATGATTAACCGTCGATTCTGACCCCGCCGTTGCACTGCCTCCGCCAGAGTTCACTCCATGATGGTCGAGTACACCCAGGCCCAGGTGCATCTTCTGACGCATCAAGATTAGAGTCTGATCCTTGCCCTTGGCCCCTGGCGGCAGTGGAGCATTCGAGTTAAGATGATGCTGATGCTGATGCGGATCCTGCAGCGTGGGCACAGTTGTCTATAAGTAAAGAAAATTTAGTATAAAAGCAAAAAGCAAATCTCTTCCTGGGAACTTACTCCAGAGGTGGAGCCAATGTGGCCAGAGTTCCTCAGGAGGCCACTGCTGCTGCTGCTGTTGTTGTTGCTGCTGCTGCTGCTGCTGTTGGCATTGTTGCTGCTGCTATTGCTGCCACTGCCGCCAGCATTGTTGTTGCTATTCACGGACGATGAGAGCCCACTGGTGGGCAGCATGGTGGCCCCCGTCACTGGACCCGCTCCGCCTGCATAGTGAAGTGCCGCTGCCGCTGCTGCTGCCGCTGCTCCCAAGGCTCCGCTTGCTGTTACGCCCGAGGCAGAGGAGGAGGAGCTTGCATTTGGATGAGAGGCCAGACGTGGCAGGGCATTGCCCATTGGCTGATCACTGCTGTTGCCGCCACCATGAGTGGTGGGCGTGCCGCTAAGCGAATAGCTGGCCTCCGAGGTGGGCGTGGAATCGCCGCTTATATCCATATCAGCATTGTCATTGTGTCGACCTGGGGGGAAGGTTTTAATACAATATAATCTTTGTTTTAATTGATTTATTAGTGTTTTTCTTACCATCCAAACGCCTTCGATGGCTGGGCGGTCCGCCATCGTTTTCATAATTCCATCTCAGTCGTGAATTGTCGCGCGAAGAATTGGAATGTTTGTATGCTATAGCAAGTAGAATGTAAGCCTAAGTATTTTCTAGAGATTTAAAAAGTTCTATTATACTTACTCGATCTGGAGAAGCGGTCTTCACGATCCCTATCGCGATCCTTGTCGCGATATTCCTTCTCACGGTGCTGATCACGCGGCATATTCCTGCAGAAGATGTTAAGATTTGATTAGAAATGAATCTCCTTGCAGGAAATCCCCTTTCCAAACTCACCTTTCTCTGTCCACCCATTCCTTTGGCTTCTCCCACTGGGAGATTTCCGTCTTGCAGTTGTAATAATACATTTTCCCTGAAGGAAAAAGTTATATTCAATTAATAAAATGCTCAGAATTGGTTGTCTGAGGCTTGGCGGCTACTCACCCGATGAGCTTACATGCTCACTCCAGTCGCCATACCGGGCGGTTCGCTCGCCACGATCGCTGCGTTCGCTGCGTTTATCTGAAAGTTTTTAAAAATAAATTAAATAAAATTTAAATAAAAAAGGAATAATAATAATAGTAAAATATAAATTCTTTAAAAACTCACCTGTATACTTGTCCTTCTTGTACAAGTCCCTGTCGCGATCCGAATTGCGATCCCGCTTGTCGCGCATATCACGCATATCACGATCTCGCTCCCGGTCACGATCGTCCGAACCCGACCGCTTATCGTTTTCCCGCGAGGAGCAGAGTTTGCCACTGCCACCGCCGCTTGTACCGCCTGCACCGCTACCACCACCGCCTCCTCCGCCGCCGCCGCCGCCTCCACGTCGATCCCTGTCATGGTTGGTGCGATACGATGACTCCGAGTCCCGATCATTGCCACGCCGATCTCGTTTATCTAGGAGAGAAAATATTATTCGTTTTGGGAATATCCTTAGATATCCTCTTTTTTTTTTTACTCACCTGAATATTTATCCTTCTTGTAAACATCACGATCTCTGTCCCGCATCTTCTGCATAAAGCTGTATCGCTCACCGCTTCCGCCACGCCCACTGCCGCCGCCACCACGATGATCACTGCGATCGCGGATATCGTGGGAACGTGACGAAGGCGAATCAATGTCCGGCGACTGGGAGCGGTAGCTATTGCCATTATTCAATGGTCCGCCGCCGCCGCCGCCATTGCCGCTGCTACCGCCACCGCCGCTGCTGCTTCCACCGCCGCCACCGCCACCTCCGCCACCGCCAGCGCCCGGCGACAGGTCGCGATCGCGATAATTGGAGGAACGATCGCGTTCATAGTCGCGCTTTGAACTGCTGTACTTTGAGCTCTGCACGGGTAAATATATATAAAAGCGCACACAGTTTTTAGTCGGTTTAGTTTATTCCTTTTTTTTCTTCCTTTATATATCTATTTTTTCTTTCTGTTTGCCCCAAAAATTAATTACAGTGCTACACAAGGTACAATTTTTAGATGGTTTTACAGATTTCGAGAAAATGTGGCAGAGGCTAAAGATAAGATTGTTTTTCTTGAATGTAAAATTCTCCTAAAAACTATAGAAAACTATGAATTATAAAAACAAAAAGAACACTTAATTTCGGTGGTTTTAGAAACTTTATATTTATTTTACATTTTTCTGTTTTAATTAATAATTTAATTTATATTTGTTTATAAGCTCAAACCTCACAAAAAGAAAACTTTACATTGTCTGAGATGAATCTAACGCTCTAACTACTTTAAATTGTTCATACAAAATGTATTTTAATTATTATAATTAAAGAATATTTATTTAATAATTATTAATTAAATATTAATTATTATTTTAAAGATTGTTATTAACGTTTTAATGTGGTAACAAGATCAAAACTACACATGGTTGACACGCAAATTAAAAAAAAAAACCATTAAAAATGCATTAATTTAAAGATTTTTAAATTTTTAAAAATAATTGTTAAAAGTTATAAACAAATATCCTTTACCAAACAGGTATTCCATTGATATTTTTTCAAAAATTCTTATTTTTTACTATTAAATAATGGAACCTAAAATTTTAAATTTAAGTTTTAAAACATTTTAAATCTAAATTTGCTATATTTTTTTTTAAATCTAAATTTGCTATATTTTTTAATAATAACCTAATGACCTTTTATCTAAAATCTCTGCCACAGGTTTCTTGAAAAATACAGAATTCACTGTTAGTTCACAATTGATTTTAGCTTGATTTTAGTTTCAGTTTAGTTACAACTTTTTTTCTGGTTATTTCAATTGTTTTTCTTTTTGAATGGGGGCAGGGTTAGTTAGTTAGTTAGTTGAACTAAATCTACGTAATAGGGAAATAATAATTATAATTAAATGCCAGCTACTTTTGCCAATGTACTTCGCTTGTGATTATTGCCAATGAAATGAAATTCAGATGATATTTAATTTCAAATTAAAAAATGTAACTATAATCGCTGAATTTTGAAATATGTCGCGTATTTGGTGTGTGTGTGTGTAGTAGTAGTATTTTGTTTTAATATAAATATAAATTAAATATAATTGAAATGTTGCCATTTTCTATTATAAAATATAACCAAGTTTCAATTGTTTTTCATTTGTTTAAGCCAAATTTCACTTGTAAATTATAAACAAATTTTGATGCCGTTTGTTTGTTATTATAAATTATAAAAAAAAACTGTATAATGTATATAGATTTCATTTTGTTTCAGCTGGATGTATATTTGTTGTTGTCCTTTTGATCTTGAATTATCATTAAACATTCACTATTATATTGTTTTATCGTGGTTTTCTTTTGTTGCATTTTCTTTCTGGTTTTTTTAATATTATATTTTGTTGCACTTTTTTTTTGTAAATTTAATTTTAGTTTAATTTGTTTACTTACTTCTAGGCGACAGAGGCCCACAGCTGACGACGACGACGTTGAGGTCGCTGCTGCTGCACTTTTGCTATTGTTATTGTTGTTGTTGCTACTATTATTATTATTATTATTATTAATATTGTTGTTATTATTACTGCTGCTGTTGTTGTTGTTGTTACTGCTGCTGCTGCTAATGTTGCTATTGCAATTGGCAATTGTTGTTGTTGAAAGAGACAAGTCAACAGCCATGTTGTTTTTTTTGTGCTTGTTGTTGCTCCTCATAGATGATTTTATTTTGTTAATTTATTAATTTGAATAACTTTGGTCGTTCTTTTTGTTTTTAGTATTTGTTTATATTTGGTTTTTGGCTTAATTGATTGTGGTTGCTAGTCTTTTCTTGAGGCACATTTGTGTTGTTCTCCTTGTTAATCGTTGATATTTTCGTTAATTTATTTAAAATTTGTTACGGCTCTCTATTTATTTAGTTGGTTATTTAGTTTAGCATATCGTGTATAATTTGTTTTAATTGTTTACTACGTCGTTTTGTAAGGCTAGTAGAGTTTGATTAAATTTATTTAGGCAGCGCTTAAACAGGGTTCTTTTTTTTATTTTTAATGTTGTTTATGTTTGATTAATGGCAATTTCAAAGCGTTTTTGTGCTGTTTCGAATTAAATAGCTCCGTTTTCTATTAGAATTACTATTTTTTTGTTTACACTTTTACATCAAATACTTGTTATGGCATTATTTATGGTTTTTCCAGTTTGCTTTCTTAAAATATATCTCTGCGTATATATAGATTCGATTCTCAATTTAAGTTCAGTTCATAGGCTGCAATGCCGCGTTTTCAATGGGTTAACAAATGAAACGTTTGATTTGGTCAGTTCAAAAATGGTTAATGGATAATGGGACAATTAAGTGGATTTTTAGGATGCACAACAAACACAGCGATTGAATTACCAATAAAGAAAACCAAAAATCCAAACTACAGAGTTACGATTAATGGTTTTAAGATATATAGATACTTGTGAAGAAATTAAATTCATTTGAGTTAAAGAATCTACAATTTGCATTGGCTTCAAGTAGCACTAACTACCAACTACAGAACGAAATATAGACAGACTGGCATACACAATTAGGATGTGATTGAGTTTTCTCAATGGAAGGGGAGATTTTGAGAGGCGCCTGCTTACCTGGTAGGATGTGTGGCTGGTATGCTTCTCAAAGTACCTGGAATATTGTAGAAGAAATAAATATAAATTAGCTTTCAATATGCAAATTTTTAAATTTAAATTACATTAAGTTGTTAGTTGTTATTCTGCTGCTGCCTAGCTTAATAATCTCTAGAAATATATGAATATATGGGCAAAATTAATGTATTAATACCTCCATTACAGAGACTATATAAGCTAGAGAGGTTTCTTATTTGGAGATCACTTTCTTATACGTTTTTAAAGCATTGTCCTGATTTTATCAATAACATAAATAAATACATAATAAACAAATCAAAACTGACGATTTATTATGGGATTTAGTACACAATATACCAAAAACCTATTAATTTTTAAAAGTAAATGTTCAAGAAACAAATCTTAAGCCTCTAAAACATCAAAATTCAAGCTGAACATTGTGTTTAATTTGGAATTTATGTATATTCCTCTTGAAGAAGCTTTGAAGCCGTACATATTTCAAGCTTGTATGCTTGGATGGGGTCAGCAAAGCTACGAAAAATCGCTGCAAACTTTAATATGTGAGTTTATTTATCAATAATAAAACCTTATCAGTGCGCCGGCATCGATTTGTTGATTGTGTTTATTTTATTTTGCAGGCAGAAAACAATCTAAAGCCGGCTAAAAACTATAATAAACAAAAGGCGAGAGCGAGGGAAAATGTGGAAAATGAATTTCGTAAAAATAGGAAAATAGAAACGGCAAAAGGTAATGGTTCTTTTTTTTCTCCTTTTTTTTTTTTGCATTTAGCGACAGCTGAGCGCGTGCGAGCAAGAGGGCACTAGCTTGTGTGGTGGATACCCAAAACACGAATAACGCGAGAATGAAGGACAGAAAACGCAACATAATTCATTGGCCCAAAGTTTAAGCAAATTAATTGCAAGGAAATGGGTTAACTGAATTGTTTAAATTTCGGAAAATTCGTAGAGGAAACGCGTCCAGGTCACTGGCACTACGAGTTAGAAAGAGAGGGAGCGACGAGTAAGAGGGAGAAAGAGAGAGAGAGTGCAAGGCAGCAGCAGAACGTAAACAAAAAATATTCAATTATGGGTGTGTGTGGCCCCCCTAGTGTTGTTATTTTACGACCCTACGATGTATCAAATATATATATATAAATATGATTGTTCATTCCGTACCCATCGTTCATACGCTGCGGTTTTCTAGCATGCATTACCATCAATGCAAGATTTTCGCCAAATACGCTGCCGCTTCTGTTGTTCGTGGATTTGCTGGCTTCTCGCTGGTGCTGGTGCTGCTGCTCCTCCTGATGTGCTCTCGCCTTTTTCCGCTGCTTTTCCTCAATTTATCCAATTTGGTTTCCGTTGGCGCCTCCTTTTGGGGCTCCTCTTCCTGCTCCTTCCTCTTCTTCTCACCTGCCAAGGCACGCACGCTTGTGTGTGTGTGTGTGGTATGTGTGTTTGTGTCAGAGTTAACGGTGTGTGAGTGGCTCGCCTGTATGGGAGGCTCTCTTGGTTGTATGTGTGTGGATCTTTTTATCGGCTTTTTTCGTTGCCTCCTAGAAAATGTGCAAACATTCAGGCTATCTTTAATTAGCTTCTTAGCCTTCCGCCTTCGGTCTTCCGGGAAATGGGTAATTCTTTCAAAACGCCGCTTTCAATTTTCACTTCTCGGCCTCAGAATGTGGGCGCTCCTCTGAGAGTGTGTGTGTGTGGTGCGTCTGTTTGTGTGCGTTTCGCTTCGTTCGTATTTTTCTTGGCTGCCTTTTTGCTTTTCTCTGTGCTTACCGCAATTCGTTAGCCGCTCGCATCCACTGCGCTGTAAACGCCGCATTTAGTTGTTTCGCATCGAACGATTTTATTAATTTATCCCCGACTGCTGCGTTTGCTTTTTGGCCTCTATACTTGATGAGTTTTTTCAATTCTTTTACATTACGCTTTGTGCGGTCTGTTCGTCGGCACGGCTGTGTTGAGTTTGACAGCCATCGGTTTGATCTGCTATCCCGCTCGCCCATCTTATGATGCTATCGCCGTCTCGCTCGCGGCGCTGGTGCTACGGGCGTTCGACAAGGCCGGCGATATAACGATTGTTGTTGTTTGGCGTGGTGAACGCTAGGTGTCGCTGCATTTTGTGGTAATTTTTGGAACATTTATGGCTAGGCGTTGGACGGAGTGTGATATGGTCACTTTATAAGGCTGGCCTGCCAACCTGGCCAAACATTTTAAGGGTTAATAAATTTAAAAAAAAATTTTTAATTTTCTTGCAAATATGTCTAGATCGATTCTGTTTTTAATGCTGATCAAGAATATATATGATTTATAGGGTCGGAAATGGGTCCTTCCCTGATTTTTAGGCTTCGGACTGAAATTATTATACCCCTTAAGGTGTATTAATTTTAAATATTTATTCATAATTTTATATGATCATTTTTGGGCTTAAAAATTCAATAACTAAGCCAAAAATGCATTAAATTCAATTTGAAAAGCTGTTCTGATTTAGTTTTTTTATGGTTTATAAATCTGCATATAAAGATTACAAATTTAACCATTTTAAAATTTTTCGATTTTTCTTTACCTCCTTAAACAATAAAATTAAACATAAAATTAAAATAAAAATTAAAATTTTTAATTTTCTTGCAAACATGTCTAGATCGATTCTGTTTTTAATGCTGATCAAGAATATATATGATTTATAGGGTCGGAAATGGGTCCTTCCCTGATTTTTAGGCTTCGGACTGAAATTATTATACCCCTTAAGGTGTATTAATTTTAAATATTTATTCATAATTTTATATGATCATTTTTGGGCTTAAAAATTCAATAACTAAGCCAAAAATGCATTAAATTCAATTTGGAAAGCTGTTCTGATTTAGTTTTTTTATGGTTTATAAATCTGCATATAAAGATTACAAATTTAACCATTTTAAAATTTTTCGATTTTTCTTTACCTCCTTAAACAATAAAATTAAACATAAAATTAAAATAAAAATTAAAATTTTTAATTTTCTTGCAAACATGTCTAGATCGATTCTGTTTTTAATGCTGATCAAGAATATATATGATTTATAGGGTCGGAAATGGGTCCTTCCCTGATTTTTAGGCTTCGGACTGAAATTATTATACCCCTTAAGGTGTATTAATTTTAAATATTTATTCATAATTTTATATGATCATTTTTGGGCTTAAAAATTCAATAACTAAGCCAAAAATGCATTAAATTCAATTTGGAAAGCTGTTCTGATTTAGTTTTTTTATGGTTTATAAATCTGCATATAAAGATTACAAATTTAACCATTTTAAAATTTTTCGATTTTTCTTTACCTCCTTAAACAATAAAATTAAACATAAAATTAAAATAAAAATTAAAATTTTTAATTTTCTTGCAAACATGTCTAGATCGATTCTGTTTTTAATGCTGATCAAGAATATATATGATTTATAGGGTCGGAAATGGGTCCTTCCCTGATTTTTAGGCTTCGGACTGAAATTATTATACCCCTTAAGGTGTATTAAATTTTAAATATTTATTCATAATTTTATATGATCATTTTTGGGCTTAAAAATTCAATAACTAAGCCAAAAATGCATTAAATTCAATTTGGAAAGCTGTTCTGATTTAGTTTTTTTATGGTTAATAAATCTGCATATAAAGATTAGAAATTTACCCATTTTACAATTTTTCGATTTTTCTTTACCTCCTTAAACAATAAAATTAAACATAAAATTTAAAAAAAAATTAAAATTTTTATTTTTTTTCCAGACATGTCTAAATCGATTCTGCTGTTAATGCTGATCAAGAATATATATGATTTATGGGGTCGGAAAAGAGTCCTTTCAGCTCAATTTTTTAGTAATAACTTTTATTTTACTTATAACTGTTAATTGCGTTCCCTGAAAAACTCCGTTTAACATTTATAATAAATAATTTTATAATATTAATAATTATTTTTTTAAGTCCCATTCTAGCAAGTTGGCAGCCTTGGCAGCCATAAACACCTATCGATATCGATCGACCTATACTCACCACGATGTAATTCTAAGAACAAAGTTAATTATTTAATTTCTCCTTTGTCCACATTTATATATTATAGCTTATTCAAAACGTTTTGATTCTTGTTTCAATTGAAATTCTTAAATAATCGAAATGAATGGTCCTCCTTGGCAACCTTATCTTTTTTCCACTTCCTGACTGCGGTCACACTGGCATTCGCATTTCTTAACTTTTGATTTTGTTTTGTTTTTCGTTGCAAATTTGTAAATTTCCGTTTTCTGCCAGGGATGAGCACGTCTCTGGGCAACTGCATTAGCAACTACATTTACCTGGCCGCCAACGAAGACTACGCCCAGGGCTTGGTGAAGGTAAGAAAGCCGGCTGGCCAGGAGTTTTCCACCCGTTCTTCTTCTTATTACTTGGGATTTTCCTAGCTATGCGAACGCTGCGCGCTAAACGACAATCGCGTTTTGCTGATCACCAAGCGCAAGGGCAGCACCACCAGCAGCTTCAGCAAGTGTCTGAAAGTCCTGCAAGTGGTAGACATTGAGAGCGCTCCCTGCCGCCTGTTGGACTTGCAGGAAAACATAAGTGCGGATATCTCAGCGCCGAATCTGATTGTCTTTGATTTGCATTCGCTCATCCTGGAGGCCATACAGCGCCCGGTAATGCAGCAGTGCTCCACGGATCAAATGGTGCGTCATATTGCCAAATGCGCGGCGGCCTTTGTCAACTACAAGGAGCAAGTGGCGGCCACCATGAAGCAGCGCGGGCAAGGCGAAGCCCTGGACACGATCGTTGTGATGTCCCAGGACTCGTATCCCCTGACACCGGCCCAGTTCAAGCTGCTCATCGGTCTCTACTTCTGCGGCAATGAATGCCACACGATTTTCTCGAAGCTGGCGGGCAGGATATCGGTCTCGCAGGGATGCGACTAGCAGAGGTACTTGCTTAACCAGTTCCTTTACCTCAGAATTAGGCTTAACACTAAGCTGTAGCTATGATAATGTAGCTTTTGATAATGTATAATCAAAATTATTTATTTAAAAGCAAGGAAAGAGAGAGATGTCAGGAGACTTGAAAGGAAAACTTTGATTTAATTATGAATATTGTGTGGAGTTTAGTTTGGATTATGTTAATATCGAAGGATAAACTGATACTCTCAACTGAAATCCTGTTCGTTTTGTAGTTGTAGCTAAATTATAGTTTATCTAGAGCGATAAATTGTATGTTTAGTATGTAAAAATCATATAAAAAACCAAGTTCTTAGTACATATTATACTTTGGTTATAATAATATAACTAAAAACTAGTTTAAATACCAAAAAAAGAATATATAAATATATAAAATAACACCACATGGCATCCATGCAAAACAAAAGCTATACGAAAACCGAAGCAATTTAATGCTCTCTCTTTAAGTATTTACTATTTATTATAAATAGAATTAAAGCTAACAAAAAAAAAAATAGTATTAACAATCGTAGAAATCTCAAAATTCAAGTTAAAATGTTAATAAAATAAAATACACTTACATTTAATATAAACAACAAATTTGGAATATAAAAAAAAATACAAGTTTGGGGAGTGCATTCCGAAAATGTCAAATTGTGATCTCCGGAATGCACTGAAAAAAAAAGAAAAGGAACTAAGCACCCAACCCGAATCCCTGCCCATCCATCCTCTAGCCTAAATGTAGTCCATCATGCCGCTGATGATCTCAAAGGCATCCCGAGCCGTGGGCTCGATGGCGCTGCTGGGCAGCAGGTAGCCATGGACCCCGTTGTCCGCCAGCTGGAGGGTGTAGCTGAAGGGTATGCCAATCTCGTAGGCGGCAAAGGCATCCGCACAGCCTGTAAAATAAAATATTTAATTTAAATTAATATAAAAGTATTGAAACAAAAATATAATAATATGACTATAAGAATTATAAAAATATAAAACAATTAAAAATATAAAAAAAAAATATAAAAATTAAAAAAATAAAAATATTAAAAAATAAAAATATTAAAATTAAAAAAATAAAAATATCAAAATATAAAAATTCAAAAATATAAAATTATAATAATATAAAAATTTTAAAATTTTTTAAATTAAAATATTCAAATATTGAAAAATTTAAAAATTGAGAAACTTGAAAAATTGACATTGAAAAACATAAAATATAAAATCATAATATATAAACAAATTCAAAAAATCAAAATTGTAAATATTCAAAAATCTAAAAACTTAAAAGTTCTAGAATTTTCAAATTCAAAAAATTTTTAAATTTAAAAATATTTATAAAAATTCAAACATTTTAAAATTCAGAAATTTAAATATTTAAATTCAAAAAATTCAGCAATTCAAAAATTCAGAAATTCAAAAATTTGAAAATTTTAAATATTAAAAATTGTAATATTCAAAAATTTAAAAATTGAAACTTAAAAAAAAATATATAAAATCTAAAAACATATATAAAGTACTTTTCTATCTTTAATAATAAATAATAAATAAATAAATATAAAGTACGCACCCGATCGCTGCTCTATTAGATCGTTGGAGGCATCAACCTTATAGCGCGACTTGCTGCCCTTCTTGCGCAGTCCATCGGTGCCCACCATGGCCACATCCAGGAAATCATCCAGACGCTCCGAATTAAACGTGGAGTTGGCTTTCACAGGATAGGATATGACCTGGCCATAGGCCTGCAGGGATATGTACAACTAAGGCAAGGGAGAAACTTGATATTTAAAGCCATTTTTGGTAACCATTTCCCGGTTTTACCTTGATCTGCGTCCGATAGTCCATGAGAAATTCGGAAACCGCCTTGGTTTCCGGCTCGGAGAAGGGCGTGGGTCCCGCAAAGAACTCATTGCAGGGCGCCTTGGAGCTGCCACGCTTGCCCCACTGATAGAGCCAATTCCTATCCAGATCCACACCATAGCAGACCTTGTCCGTTCCCCGTTTCTGCTGGAGCCAAGTCATGGCCGAGTCGAGGAGGCCACTGGGTGCGGGAGCCTGGTGTTGCGAACGTGACTTTTTCCAGAAGCGATCGTACTCATGGCTATAGGCATAGCCATCGGGATTTAGTACAGGCATCACATACCAGGTGGTGTTCCGTATAAACTCCACTTCATCGGTGCTTTCTGTGGGGTTTTTGGTAAATATATTTTTATAAATTTACATAAAAAAGAATTTAAGGGTAAGGAAATCCACAGGATTTCTCACTCACTGTTGGTCTTCATCAGCCTGAGCAGCTCGGCTATCATCCAGGTGGCCGTGGCGGGTCCTATCCAAGCCAATCCCTGGGCTCCCGCCTCCACAAACACGGCATTTGCCTGACCGGCCTTGTGCTTCCGCTTGGGCCGCTTGGCTGCCACTGGTTGGCCGCCATCGCTATTTCCGACCAGGGAGCTGCTACCCTGCTTGGACTCGATCTTGACCACAATCAGGGGACGACCCTCGTAGGAGCGACCAATGTGTATGAGCTCCACCAGCTGCGGATGACGCATGCGCACCGTCTCCAAATACTTGACAATCTCGTCGTGATTGTGATACCGATTCCAGGTCATGGGCGGTGGTATGGTCGCCCGCAATGGCTGCTGCTTGGAGGGGCGAGTGGTGTGCAAATAATCCTCCTTGGAACGCTCATAGGCTATGGCCTTGCCTACGTCAAAGATGAGCACCTCATGGGCAATGCCCTCGTAGTTCAAAGTGCCCTGGAAATCCACCAGCATCTTGGGCGGCACAAGGACATCGGTGAGTCCCCTAAAAATATATATATTTTAAGATTTTTAAAACATAAACTAAGAGTAGAACAACCCACCTAAGACTTGGTCCCTTGAGCCACTGCATCTTCACCCCATCCTCGCCCTTTTTGAAATCCTCCAGAGCTCGCACCTGCGTCTCATCCTGGGGCTTTAGTCGCCATATCTGGTACTTGTCATAGTTGATGCGCCGGGGAACCTCCGGCCTCGATGTGGTCGTACTGGTCGAGGTGCTAGTGGTTCCCCTGGTACTGGTCATGCGTGTGGCTAGGGCCTGGAGCAGCGGATTACTGGTAGTGGTGGCCGTGGAGTTCACTATGTGATGGGCCAGTATGCCAATCCAGTTCTGGGGATTACGCAGCGGATCCACAATGGTCAGGATGGGCACCTGGGCTGCTCCAGCTGCTGCTGCTGGACTGGTCGTTGTGGTTGACGTAGTCGAGGTGGAGGTGGTGGAACGCCGTCTGACCTTTCGCTTGGGCCGAGAATCGAACCAGCTGGCAAACCATTCTGGGGAAAAGGAGAGTAACCTGGGATTAGTGGGGTGGGGGGTGGAGGAGGCAGATCTGTGCAGAAAGCGTGAAGGGAAATGGAGAAGCCAGAGCCAGAGGTTCTGGTTCTGGTTCTGGTTTCCCTCTAGAGTTTAGCCTATGGGTATTTCCCTGCTCATTCAGCCAATCTCCCCCATTAACCTGATCACTCGAGTGCCAAGTTTTCTTTTAATTGCTTTCAGGCAGAGCCATTACTTGGCTAATATCCATAATAATATTAATTTCTTGGCCTGAAAGAAATTGCCAGATCATCGTTAAGTGTATATTTTGATGTCTAAGATCAAGTCAAGCGTGATTACTTCTTCAAAAAATCCAAATAATGTATTCAAATAAGAATTTGAAAGCTACAACTACTTAAAGTTAATCCCCCCAGTCTTTCTACTCACTATCATAATCATCCTCCTCCTCCTCCTCCGCCTCTGGGGTGGCTGTGGTTTTGCCAAAACCAAACCAAGACTCCAGCCAGCCGGGTGGCTCCTTCGCCGGCGTGGGCAGTGGCACCACTGTGGTGGTGGTTGTACTGCCAATCTTCTTAGTCCTACGCTGCAAGCCAAACCAGGAGCTAAACCAGCTGCCCAGCGAAGAGGACTCCTCCTCCTCCTCGGCCTCCTCTTGCTCCTCCGGCTCTGCGTAGGCCTCATTGCTGTGGGCATTGTGGTAGAGCGTGTAGCTGGGATACTTGGATATTGTGGGTCCTGGCGGTTGCTCGTCCTCCTCGGGACTGCCAAAGCCATCCATTAAGCGCGACATGGCCACCTGGACGGGATAGAATAGCATGCGAAAGAAGCCACCTATGCCCGAGTCCTCGTCATCGTCATCATAATCCTCCTCCGTGTCCACGGGACGCCGCCGGATGCGTATCTTTTTCTTGGGCATGGAATTCTTGGTGCTGGAGGTGGCCTCCGATTCCGCCTCCTCCTCGCTGCTGGTTGTTGCTGTTGGTGTGGTCACCTCCTCCTCCATGGCACCAAAATCTGCACCCTCCTCCGCGGAGCTGCTGTCCTCCTTTTGGTCGCTTTGCTGGCCAGTGTGTCGCCGCTTTGCTTGATTTCCTCCAAACGAACCATAGAAGTAGTCCTCATCGTCCTCGTCCTGGTCTTCCTTACCATCCTCATCATAGTCGTCGTCATCGTCGGCCATGAGCTCGAAAAGATCTGGAAAACTGGAGCCCTCGGGTCTGCCTCGTTTGCGCTCCTTGCTCTTTGTTTTCTTTTTCAATTTCGGTGGTATTATCCTTTCCGTTTGGTTTTTCCTGAGGGAAGTTGGATTACTTGGCGTCTTTTGTGTTTCGTGCTCCTTGCGGGTGTGGTTCCAGTGGGCCAAATGTATGGCCGTGGGTAACATGTGGGCTACATCAGCTTTACCTTTGTCCTTGGGCGCTGGGGTTTGTGGTGGTTGCTTGGTTTTGGGTTTGGAACTGCTGCCTTTTGATCGCCGGCGGGGAGTGCTTCTGGGCGGCGTGCTCACCCTGCGTGCAGAGACTACTCTTGGTGGTCCCAGGGACTTTTTGGGATCCTGTATCCCAGTTTCTGGTGTGTTTTCTTGGAGGGCACGACGTTGTCGGCGATGGGTCCTAGCTTGAAAAGGTTTTGGGGAGTTTTCTTCTCTCCTTAGGGAACTCTTTAAAGCCTTTCTCCAAGTTTTTAGATTCTTCAGGGAGTGTAGTCTTTTGGTTTCTCCATTTATTTTTGTAGAATTCACTAGATTCTTCTCTTTTCTTCTTAAATCTTCTTTATCTTCTTGGTTCTTTGTGGGACCTTCCTTTCCTTCATGTAAATCCTCCAAAGAGCGACGTCTTCTGCTAGAATTCTCCCCTGTACCTGCTTCTTTTGACCCTTCTTTTGACCCTTCTTCTCCTGATTCTTCCAACTTTTCACTGTCTTCACCTGGCTCTTCTCCAGCTCGATAAAAATGCTGACTAAAGACATTGCCCGTTGGCTGGGTGGTGGCCACCGGCATGTGCGGCTTCTCCAGTTGTGTATATGCCGGTAGAGGTGGCTTTGTGGTGGTGCTGCTCCCACTTGGTCTCTTGCCTAGAATTATGGGCAATGGTCCCGGCTGATTGCGGGTGTTATTACCCCCATATCCTGGCCTGGGTCGCCTCTTCGCCACCTTATCCTTGGTGGTCTTCTTCTTCTTGCGACGCTTCCTTAGCGTGCTTGGCCTTCGGGTGGTGCTGGTACTAGTTGAGGTGGCTATCGTGGTGCCTCCCCTGTGTGGCAGCTTCAGCAGCTGATCGCTTACATGATCTATGGGTCCACTGGTGACCATCACGGGAGGCGGCCGGTGGCTGGGCTTGGGCAATTTATTGCTGGGCCTTGCCGGCGGGTACTTGGGCTTCTTCAGGCGTATAATCTGTGGCCTGGCGGTGGTGATTCCACCCATCTGCTGCTGTTGATGATGCTGATTCTGGCTAGGATTCAGGGTGGATATCACAGTGCCTGGAGGAGCAAACGGCTGCTGGCACTGCTGTTCGTAACGCCGGCGTAGCTTCTCCATATCGGCATCATACTGGGCCTTGGTCACATATATGGCAATGGCATTGCTATCGTTACGGCTCTGGCCAGCAATGACTCCTGATCCTTCTAATCCTCCTGCTCCCCCTGCTCCCACCTGGCTGATGGCATACACTATGCCCGTCGAGGGGTGGGTAAAGTAGATGGGAAAGCTGGTGCTGGTGGAGGAGTACGAACTATTGCCAGGCGAGGGCCTCCTGTTGGGCTCCTTGATCTCCAGCAGCTCGCTCTGCACGTGCAGTTGATCCCCAACGGAGCTGGCATCCTCCTCCACGGACTCAAAGACATAAGGCTGTGAGGGCTGATCTTGATCCTGGTCGAACAATTGAAAGTCCAGCTCCGGTGGCTGAAAGCGTATGGAGGTCTGGTGTTGGTAGCGCGGCACAAAGCCACGATTGTCATGGACAAACCGCTGATGATGATGCTGCTGCTGCTGCTGGAGAAGATCCCGGCTCCATGAGCTCTGCTTGGTGGTCTCCCTCAGCAGGCTGTCGAACTCCTCGGCACTGGGATGGTAGCCAAAGTCGATGGCCTCCGAAAGATCGCCGAAGAGCAAGATGATGCTGAGCCAGAGCCAGAGCTTAGTGGGAGTCCCCGTTTGGGTATCCATTCTCCTGCTCTCGCGTCTCTCTCTCTCGGTCTGTCTGTGTGCCTCTGTGGGATGTCTCCTCTTCTCGACGACCGTTTGGCTGCGAGTCTGGTTAATAAATGAAACAAGGCCCAGTCGCTACTTGGCTCTGCCAGTCGGAGAAAGCCCCCACTCCGGGGTCTTGGCTAGCATAGCCCCGTCTGCTTCAGTTTCGGTTTCGGTTTCGGCCGCTTGGCTTTTGGCCCGTAACGCTCAGCTCCACCTCCTCTCTGCCCCCTGCCCCGTGCTCATAACTCTTAACTCTTAACTCTTGACTCTCGGCAAGAGGTCGAACCGAACGTTCTCCCCTTGCTGGGCACCAAGACCCACCTGGCGCTTAACTGGCCTTGCGACAGTTATCGAGGCATGCCAAATTGCCGATCTAATCACTGCCCCTGAGTGGCTTTGAAATTGCACATAAAAAATGCATCAATAAAATCTGAAAGAAGCCTAGAAATAAGGCTTCATTTTTTTTTTTATCAATCAGATTTTTCTCCCTGTGCATCGCTGTGCGAGCTTGAGTGCTTCCAAGTGATTCTGCCTAATGGCAGATCGGGTGATCGGATAGCACCGCATGTGGCGGAGGGTGGGCACAGGCGCAGGTAACTCGGCCAGGCCAGGCCATCCGATGTGGCATCCACTATGTGCTATGTGGTGTGCGGTATGTGGAGGCATGTATGTCCCACTCAGGCAGCGTCACTTTGTTGCCATTCTTGGGAGGATTTGTCGACCAGGAGGTGGGCGCCAACAACAGGTCGGACTTGTCCAAGCCGTAGAAGTAGCTGAGGTAACTGGGAAGGTGGTCAGCAGGGTCTAATGATCACAATTTGATGGTTCTTTTTTATAAAAATAGATTCGATTTCCTTTCTTTAAAGTTTTTGCTTTGTAATTCTCAACTGATTCTAGCTCGTTGTTCAGTTTTAAAGAAGAAAAACCTTAACCTAACCATAATTCATAACAATTTTACAATATTTTATTTACTTCTCTTAGAGCGTTATGATAACAATGACGCGCAGCGTACTAAATGTATTAAGAAATTGAGATTTCCGTTTCGGATATGGTGACAATGCCGGAACACCAGACCGGCTACAGATCTTTCACTTTCTAAACCTTCTGCAATTAAATATATATATATATATTTTTTTTCTGACTTTATTTTATATATTTTTGGTTTTGTTGTTGTTACTTTTGGTGACTTTCCCCGAACTTTCCGCCCCTAAAATCAGGTAGAGCTCAAAGAACTGGCTGTCACTGGGTAATTACAACCACTAAGACCGCCGCTTCTTGCCGGATTTGTAAGCACTTACTGGAGCGTCACTAAAAAACGTTTAACGTTTTGACAAAAACAAAACAAAAAAACGCCAAGAAAAACAAGAAAAATGCACGGGGGATTGGGCTGGCCCAACAATTTAATAACAATAATCCAGAGAATAATATAAACAAAGCGCTGAAGAAAGGGCAACAACAAAGGTTTTAATTGCAAGTTTTCTTTTTAAGGCAGAAGCCAAGCATGTCAGTTCCACCTAGATATATAGATATCATACAGCAGTGTAATATATATACTATATATATATAAATTTACATATTTATGTGGCAGAACTACTACCTGTCTGGGCTGAGTTAAGAGAAGGCAAGGTGTCGAAAGCGAAAGTCATGGAGACTGGGAAGAGGAAAGGTACTAGTTCTTGTTTAAATTATTAAAATATATTTTATATATAATATATATTTATATATATTACCTAATCCAAACCTAATTTCTTAAATTTAAAAAATATTTAAATATTATTTCATTGTAAGTTATTGTTTATTATTATTTTATGAATGAAAATATCACTAAAAAGTCTTTAGGGGTTTCCAAATGAAAGCAAAATGTTTAACTATTTGCTATAAATTATTAAAAATAAATATTATTAAATAATTTACTCCATATCCATATATATCCATATATAAATATATATATATAATTTTTTGTTCACTCCACAAGGTCAGGGACAGTGTCCAAGGGTCGATCTGGCGCCTCTTTGGATTCTATATATACATTTGATATATACATATATGTATATATGCTATATATTTGAGGTCTATGCCCGCCTCTAATTAAATGATCAGCGAATAGAAGGCTTTTGGTATGCGACCAGGCACAATTTAGCTGGGAATGATTTTTAGAATTGTATTTCGGCTTAAAATATATACAATTTTGTAATTTAATATGTAGGTTTTTTAAGAGAAAAAGGGAGGTACTATATAAAATAGAAAAGGGATGATAAAACAGTAAATGGAAGTACTTAATATATATTAATTATATTATTATAAAATTTAAAACTATAGAAAAATGGCTTACGTTAAATTTCATTCATAATACAAAGCATTTAAAATAAATAAAAAAAATTGTGGACAAAAAAATATTTTTAAGAATTTTTAATCTTATACAAAATATAATTTTTTTTTATTTTATATAAATTATTGTACATTATACTTTCAATAAAATTTAATAAATTTAAATATATAATATTTCTTTGACTTTTTTTATAATCTTAAATAACAAATTAAAATTATTTCAAGTGTACGTTTGATTATTGAGAGCCTTTTGATTCAAACCGCCTTTCAATTTTGTAGTATTTTTATTTTTATACAAATTAATATTAATAAAAGCATTAATAAAAAAAATTAAACGTTTGTTTAGGAATATTCTCACATTCAAAAAGCAGGGAAACGACTGCCAGAGTACCCTGTAAAGATGGAATAATTTTTTTTTATAAAAAATAGGGTTACTTTTTATATTAACACTTTGTTATTATTAATAATTATTAATATTATGATTATTATTTAATTATAATTATTATTTAATTTTTTTTATAACTCTATTCTTGTTCCTGAAACTACCCCAAAACCCACCTAAGCCACCTGCCCAAGCTCACCTAAATTGCGAATTAAGCTACCCCTCGTTCTAGGCACCACACTTAAGGCGTTTGTTAATTAATTAGCAAAACACTTAGTCGCTATCTCTGCACAGAAAAAATTCTGGTGGGTTAAATGAACAATTTCTTTTGGTTGAATAACAGTGAAGCTACTGTCAATGTATTTTGTTGTTGGATTTGGTGACTGCACGACAGTTTATATGACAGTCAATTACAGTCACCCTTACGTACGAGATTCTGTGTGTTTTTTGTTGTTGGCTTTGCGAACTGTCGTGACTGTCAGCTGCAGTCAAAATACTGTAGGTTTTACGTAAAAAGTTTTATGTGTTTCTTTATCTTCTTTGGTATCGTGTATGTATTTTTGCATTCCCAAGGTAAGTAACATTAACATTTTATAAGTTTATTAAATATTTTATGAAAATCCATAACTTTTTCTGCCCACTAAAATACTTTCTGGTATAATTCTGGTATATATTTCTAAACTTCTAGTATATTGCAAACGTTTCTTGAAAAAACGATTTCGGGCACACTTAAAAAGCGGCGTCGGTTTCGAGAAGTTGTGCAGCGAAAAGTGAAGTGAAAAAGTTAAAAGTAAAAGTTATGAGTGATATTGACCTTCCTTCTTCTGGAGGAGTGGGATTTCAGAGACTTATTGCCCACATTTCTCGGTAAGTTCCCAAACAATCATTTAAAGATCCGCAATTGGCGAATGTACATATGTATGTATATGTATTTATGCATACATATACATATATGTATGTATGTACATATGCAAGTACACGTACGCCGCTGATCGCAAGAAGTAACGCTTTTAAAAGTAAAGTTAGTGTACAGATTAAAATATATACATATGTACATATATGCATATATGTAAAATCTTATATTTGGCACTGATCTTTGATTGCCTCTCTTTATTTTACAATTTAAATAGCGATCAGCGGACATGTACATGCATGCAAATGTATTTTTTGGCTTCTTGTTGACTTGCGATGGCAACCATCTCAGGCGAGTGCGAGCAAGATAGCTGGCACTGACATCCAAAAACCGTTTGTTTTATATCTTATTATGATATACATATATAATTAAATCTTTTATACTTTTCTATTTTGTTTTCAGGTGAGAGTATACACATGTAACTATAAAACATAACTATGTAAATGGAATCAACAAAATGTAAGTAAAATATTTGGCCGTTTTCTATTAATTTTAATAAACAAATTTACTTAAATCAATTTTTATTTCAGAAAAGCTATAGTCGAGACAAAAGTACCAGTTCGGATGTGAAATATGGACTAATATATATTTGTGAGTATTGATAATCATCGTTTGACTTAATATTTATTTATTAATAAATTTACAATTTTAATATTTAATTTATTTATTCATCATATAGGAAATATATATATATAAGTCCATAATATTATTAATTAAGACCCTCTGTAAATATTTTTAAAGAATAAGTAATTAAAAAAATATTATTAATTAAGACCCTCTGTAAATATTTTTAAAGAATAAGTAATTAAAAAAATACTATTAAAATTTTAAAATAATTTTTGGTTTTATTTTGGTGGTAATATGAACTGCAATTACTGTAGTCGGGGGTAGTCTACAGTAAAATAGTAAAATAGTGTATTTCACAATTTTCGTGGTTTGGCGCTTTTTAACCGCAAAATCGTGGTTCCATTTACTGTAGAGCAGTACATGTTACGTAACGCGTTACGTCGTTATACTGCAGCGTACAGTTCATGGAACCCAAGATTTTGGTTGTTACCTTTTAACCCACGAAATGGTTAGATTTACCCACGATAATTTTTTCTGTGTGTTTTTTACCTATTTATTCCATTCATTAATTGGCTCCATTCACAGCGCCACCTGTGGCGAGATACGGCAACTGAGCAAACTCATTCATTGAAGAAGCAACGTGTGCGAGGGAAAGAGAGGGGGAGAGAGAGTGAGTTAGTGTGTGGGGTGGTGGGTGGTGGGTGGCGATCGAAGAAGTTAATGGGAACAGCTGATCGGTCAGCTGTCGCTCTCCCCCTGGCATCTTACAAATATTTTCGTAATGAGCCAGCAGCAAGTGGTAGAGCGAGAGAGAAAGAGAGATTAAGTGGGCGGCAAAAGAAGGAAGATAGATGCTCTCTTCCACTCTTTACACTCGGAGAAAAAAGAAAGGATCTTGTATAAAATAAACGTTATAGAAGATATTTCTTTAATTTAGGATTATTTATTTGACTCTTAAAAAGAGAGAGACTTTTCTAAATTTAAGGGTAATTTTTTTTAGATTTAAAAATACAAATTATAAAAATATAATAATAAATAATATAAAAATTAACCCTAAAAATGTGTATTTATGGTGACTTCCTCGATTTCATAATAATTTATAGTTTTTTTTAAGGATATTTAATATATTTATTTCCTATTATGGGTTTTAAAGTGAATTAAGAAAAGAACACCTTTATTTTGCTGAGTGTCATTCCACCTCTCTCGACCAGAAAGCGAGTGACGATTGTCGGACGCTTCGCCGGTCGTCAGTCTTGAATTTTTCGTGGAGCGATTAACACACAGCAAATCACCAGATCGTCGAATGCTTAAAAAAGTACAAAAATTCAGCCGCATCATCAGCGAATAATAAAAAAGACGCCAAGCGAAACAGCAGGAGCCTCAGCTAGTGGCCAAATGCAGGCTATGCAAATAAATCATTAAGATCAAGAGCTGAACAAATTTCTTGATTTTTTTTCTCAGTTTATTTTTGTTTTTGTTGGTTTTTTTTTTTTCTTAATTTTGGTCTCGTGCTTTGACCGAGTTATTTGACAACAACAACAAAAGATAAAATCAACGACAAAGACACAGAAGAAGCGCCAACAACAAAATGGATGTCGAGGTGTGTATTTTAATTGCAAGCGTTAAACTTAAGACACATGCCTAAAAAAAAAAAAAAACAAGATGAGAAAAAAATGAGAAAAAAAGTGAAACCGAAATAAACAAAACAAAAAATGAGACCAACAATTTCGACGCATTTTCGGGGCTATACACACACACATATATGTATATGTATATCTTTCTTTTTTTTTAAGTAAAAACGAGTTTTCAGTGTAAGTTCAATAAAAGCTAAAATAATTCAAGCTCAAGCTCAACAACAATAATAAAAAGAGGAAAATTTAAAGGGGCGAATGGGGGTTTAATGATTAAGTTAGGAATTCTATAACATTTTTAAATTAATTCTGGCTATTACGTATACGTAATATGGTTATTGATTGTAGGATTAATTATAAATATTATTATAATTATTATTATAAATCTTTAAAAATGTTTTAAAAGCTGTTTAGCTTTTAATAAATATAAAATTAATTGGTTTTAATTATTTTCTACAATAATTACACAAACTAATTATTCATTTTTCCATAAAGATTTAATTTTTTTTTTAATTTTTTATTTAATTATATGAAGCTACATAAGCATTAGCTGTATATTAACAAGTTTTAATATATAAAAAAAAAACTCCTCCTTAGTATATATTGCATTCCCATATCGCCTTAATTTTCCTTTAATACAAATGAATCGATTGATGCGAAATTCCTGCTTATCTTTTGGCCTGGATTTATGGCCTTACTGCCACTTGTCGTCAATGAAGATTATGCCAATGATTTACGGTTTTTAATGAAACCGAATAAAAGCCCCCCTTATAAGCCATACCTCTGGGATTTTTTACGCCTGAGAGAATTACCTATTACATTGCAGTTTTTATTTATTATTTTCAAGCGGCAAAAATGCAAATGAGTCAAAGTGGAAATTTACACACTTTTATGTATTTATTTGATCAAGGTTAGAACTTGTTCTGAACCCAGACTCTTTAGAGCTATTAAACATTTTTTATATATATATATTTTAGATGTGAGCAGTTTAATTGAAGGGAAATTATTTTTAATTTAGGATAATTTTGCCATTTAAAAATAATTTAAATAAGAATTAACTGTAAATTTAACTCTAAATTTATATAAAAATATTTTTAATATGTATATTTATTGAAATTAATATCAGAAAATTATTTTATTAATTAAGCAAGTAATTTTTCCAAATGAAAAAAGACTTCTTTTTTGAAAGAAAGCGCACAAAAGCTTGGCCAATAAAGGCCAATTAAGGTTCCCTTTGAGCTTGTCAGGTTTCCGGCAACATTCATAAAAGAGATATTAGTATTTTCTGGCTGGTGTTGTTGGGCCCAAGTGCAGTGAACCCTCGACGGAAGGAATCTCAACCACTGACCACCGACCACTATGTCATGGAAAATTTTCCACTCAAAGATTCGAGAGCAAAAAATAAATACAAATAAAAATAAAAAAATATGAAAAGAACAAGAACTAAACGAGACCGAACATAAATAATATCAGTGCGGCTCCCTCTCTCTCTGTCCCTCTCTCTCTCTCTCTTGACAGTTTGCCAATGGCCTTCCTTGGGTTAAGGGGGAGGAGGACAGGGGGCCAACGTGTGTGTACTGTACACCACGCACTTGAGGACTGTTCTATCTGGTGTTATCTGTCACTAATGTTGATTTTTAGTGGTACAACTTTAGTCCAGATTGTAGTTTATAGATCACGAGCATTAAAAAAAAGGTTAATTATAATAGCAAAAATATTTAGAATATTTAATTTAGGTATTTTAAAATTTTATTTTATGTTAGAAACAATATCCTCAATAATTTCTCAATTAAAAAAAAAAACAAATAAAAGGATTTTAGATACAGAAAAAAATTTTAAATATAAATTTTCTATATTTTTATTTTATTTTAAATATTTAAATATTAAATTCTAACTTGTTTGCTTAATTTTAAGACAAAGAACAAAATTTTAATTAGTACCCTAACAATATTCCCAAGCTAAATTCAAAACTTTGGCTTTTGTTTAATTTTTAAAAAGCTTGAAAATAACTTTTAGTTACGTAAAATTTTTTTTATAATAATTTTCAGCTTCTACGACATGAAAAAAAATATTTTCCATTAATTAGAAACTCATTCAGCAAGAGCTTTCCATAATCAAAGTACCCTCTCCAGTTTCTAGTGCACGATAATAATAATTTATACTTTGTTTTAACTGCTTTTGGCTGCCGATAAGCGGCAGCATTGTCTGGATTTACACAAGGTTTCAAAATACATTACGTATACGTCAACGGCGCCATGTCCTCCAATATATTGCGTATACCACATGTGGGACAATAATCTCACAGTTTGAAAAGCGGAAACGAGACTCAAATAATTCGCAGCTAAAGCAAAATCAAATTTTGGCGATAAAATCCCCTTGTTATTTATGACACTTGAGATTCTTATCTTAACTTCGTTAGGGGATAGACGCAGATCCTGGTGTCCAGAGCAGAGATATACTATATAAACCTGGTTAGTGGCTGGCAACAGGGTACCTGAAGTGGCCCATAACTCACAGCCCATCCATCTCAATTCAAACATTATATATATTCGATCCTTCAGTCATAACTCCCACCGATAGCAGCAGGCCCCATTGATAGCGACTTAAATGTTTTCAATGGACGTGAGTTTCTGCTGTAATTTCGCTGTTCATAAATTACAAAGTCAAATAATATTTATTATATGCTTCATTGGGGGATCATATAGCAAAGCACGTTTAATGGAAATCGAAGTCAATGGGGGATTTTAGGGGTTTCATTTGAGGTTTTAAGGTATCAGTTATTTATTTATTTGTTAATATGATTGAAAAAAAATACAAAATATTTCATTTTCTATTCTATTTTATATATATTTCTATTAAAAATTAATTAAAGAACTTTAAAAAATATTATTTAACATTTTTTTTTTTTTTTTTTTTTTTTTATTTATATGCTTTTAATATTATTGAAAAATATATAAAATATTTTATTTTCTTCTAAATATTTAAAATTTAATTTAGGAACTTTACAAAATAATTACAAAATATTATTTAAAATTTTTATTAATTTTTTTATATGTTATTTATTTATTTAAATGCTTTTAATATGGTTAAAAAATATATAAAATATTTTATTTTCCTCTCAATTTAGTGTTTAGTGCACAATTAATTTAAAAACTCTAGAAAATATTAAACAAATATTATTTAAAAATTAATTACCAATGCTAACGAGCCTCCTATTATCTCTAAAATTTTCAATTAGACCCATTGAACCACAGACCCACGTGCTATACCTATAGATACAGTCTGTCCCGTCCCGTCTATCTTTCCGTCTGGTTTGGCAGACGTTCGGGTGTCACATCGAAAGGCCACTTATCTAGCCGTCGGCATCTATCTATATCTATATCCCTATCTGTAGTACAACATATAGTATATGGCATGTATAGATATACATCCGCTGGTTCAGTGATAGTGCTTGATTTGGCTTTTATGAATCCGTTTAATTGGCTCTGATTTAGTCGCTGTCGTGGCATTATTTATGGCTCTCCTCTGACTATTCTTATCTTCGGAACTTTTCCATCCGGTTTGATCGGTTGGTTGGAAATCCCCCCGATGGGATTTATAATAGCCCTCAGGTTTTCATTTATTCAAGCACGCGAGTCTGTGATCTGTGATTCCCTGCGCACTCCGCTTTTACAGCTTTTGATCATGAAGATTGACAGCCCGAAGAGCAGAGTCGTCGAGGCAATAGAGAATCAGCCGACAAAGGCTGACTGAGGGAGAAATAAACTGCGTGTGTGTATATTTTTAAGCCTTTGTTTTTGTTTCTTTTTCCCTGAATCGCAATATTCACACCAATAGACGCCATCTCAGCCACATCAAGGTCAACCTGTGGCCAAGAGCCAGGAATCAGCGGAAGCAGGCGGAGGAGAAGCCGCTAGTCGCAAGGAGGAGGGTCACGATGAGGACTATCATCCGCCCACAAGGTAGCCATGATCTTATGGATACCAGACGTATTACTAACAACTAAACAATGAAAAATATTAAGAAATGGATCCAAAACCTTTATTGGCGAACCCACTTATTTGCATGGCTTACAACATGGAGAACACCTCAAAAATCGTATTCTATTGAAACTTTATGACATAAAATGTGATTCCAACCCATCAAGACATTTAAACCCATTATTGGATAACCCAGAAGCAGCCTTTTAACCTTATAAATCTCCTAACCTGCTAACCAAGAAACCTACTAACCTGCGCTTGGTTTTTAACCTACCTACATCACAAACCGCCTCTACACTGCAATTTAATATCATCTATAAGTTCATCTTATACTCCACATACGACCCGGAAATCCTATATCTCATCTAACTCTGCTCCCGAAACCCAACTTTCAATTATTCCAACATTGGACAACCTATTAATTATTGATTATCAAATACTAACCACCATGGAACTCAACTCCTAACTCCTAAGTTATTTCCTTAAAACCTGAAAACCTAAAACCCACCAAGGATTGACAAACCTGTAATCCTATACCTGATCTAACTCCGCTCCTAAAACCCAACTTTCAATTATTCCAACATTGGAGAACATACCAAATTCCGCTCCTAAAACTCAGCTTTAATCCAAACTCAACAACGGATAAACCCATCCTGAATAGAAGCTTACTAACCGCAGAGGAAACTCCTGTAATCACCTGCAAAAACCTGCTTTAATTCAAGCTACCTGGAGACGATTGTGCACCTGTTCAAGGGCAACATTGGACCCGGTTTGTTTGCCATGGGAGATGCCTTCAAGAACGGCGGCCTGCTGGTAGCCCCACTCCTCACCGTGGTCATAGCGGTGGTGTCCATTCACTGCCAGCACGTCCTGGTGACCTGCTCCAAGAAGATGCGAGATCTCCGAGGGGAGGCGGTGTGCGCCGACTATGCTTTGACCGTGGAGCGGTGCTTCGAGAATGGTCCCTCCAAACTGAGGAGCTGGTCAAGGACCATGGGCCGCCTGGTGGATATATTTATATGCGTGACCCAGCTGGGTTTCTGTTGCATCTACTTTGTGTTCATCAGTACGAATCTAAAGCAGGTGAGTCTGAAGGAGGGAAGAGAAAGTACAAAGTCAATACCTGGAAACTCTGTTCTTGAAGATCCTGCAAGCCTACGACATCGGCATGGACGTCCATCTGGTGATGCTGCTGGCCTTTGTGCCCGTACTCCTCAGCTCGCTGATCACAAACCTCAAGTGGCTAACGCCAGTGTCGATGTTTGCCAACGTTTGCATGATCCTCGGCCTGGCCATTACCCTGTATTATGCCTTAAAGGACGGACTACCGGAGATTGGGGAACGCGCCCTCTGGACGAATGGCTCCCAGCTGGCTCTTTTCTTCGGCACCGCCATCTTTGCCTTCGAGGGCATTGCCCTGGTGATGCCGCTGAAGAATGCCATGCGCAAGCCCCGCCAGTTCGAGAGCACCCTGGGTGTGCTCAATGTGGGCATGTTCCTGGTCTCCGTGATGTTCATGTTCGCCGGCTCCGTGGGCTACATGAAGTGGGGCGAGCAGGTCGGAGGCAGTCTGACCCTCAACCTGGGGGATACCATGTGAGTGGGAGTGTGATATATGTATATCTGGTATGGCATCTCCTTATATGCTCTTTTTTTGGTTACAAAGTCTGGCCCAGGCAGTCAAGCTGATGGTCTCCGCCGGCGTCCTCCTGGGCTATCCCCTGCAGTTCTTTGTGGCCATTCAGATTATGTGGCCCAGCGTTAAGCAGATGTGCGGCATCCAGGGAAGATCGCTGCCCGGCGAGCTGGGTTTTCGCACCTGTATGGTGCTCCTTACGCGTAAGTATAAGGCGCAATGAACCAGTGGATGATGTGGGTTTTACGATTCCAAAAATCCTGCAGTTGCCATTGCTGAACTGGTTCCTGCCTTGGGTCTCTTCATCTCACTGATTGGAGCTCTCTGTTCGACGGCCTTGGCCTTGGTCTTTCCGCCCGTCATCGAGTTGATAGCGAGGAGTGAGCCCAACAAGGGGCCAGGAGTTTGGATTTGTGTAAAGAATCTGGTTATCCTGGTGCTGGCACTCCTGGGCTTCTTCACGGGCTCCTACGAGAGCCTCAAGCAGATTGTCAAGCATTTTGGGGAAGAGGAGTTGCACTAAAGGGAGATCAAATATCAAGAGCAGCTGATTATCATCAAGGGATTATGATAAAAGGATTATCAAGAGGATCATTATGAGGATTTGAAGATCAAGTTTATCATTATCAGGATTATCATCAGGATCATCACTAGAATGAAAAGAATTAAAGAAACCAATAATAAATATCCAAAGAGAAAGACATCAAGGAGACATCACAGGACATTGAAGAACTCAGAAGATATTATCTTTATGAATATATAATAATATTCAATATGAATCACAACAACATTATCTAAGATATTACTATCATCGTCATCATCACAAGTGTTGCCAGCATAATTTATAAACCCAAAATGAGCAGGTTTTCATAATTTAACCCTAACAATTGACATGAACAACTAACAAAAATCTATTTATAAATATGCGAATTTATTACGTATGGAAAATAATGCAGTGTATATATCTAAGTGCCACGTATTGTGTCTTAGTGAGCGTGAAGCGCATTTTACTTATTATAATTGATTATTTTTTTTATCGATTTTAAGTGAGAATAAACAATGCGACGTTTGTTTTGACGTCACTTGACTTGACTTGATGTTTTCTATGTGATTTTTAATAATTGGGGTGATTATTAAGGAATGGTTTTAAAGATATAAACACTTTTGGTATCTTATTTTCTATACTTAATTCTAAGTGACAAATTTAGAAATTTACAGCAGGTTTAGTGGTTTTGTAATACATTGCCTTGCTAAAAACTTGAAGTAAATGCCTTGAGAAGCGAAGAGAAGAGCGCTTATATGACGTCATAATATAACGCTCTTCTCTGCGCTTCTCATGGTTTACACTTAAGCTTAACTGGGTTTCAGAGTTTCCTTTTCTCTACTCTTCTAATTTAAAGAAACCCTAAATTTTAATGCACAAACTCTATAAAAAAGTATCCAAATATAAATAGTATCAAAACTGGTTTAAGAAAATTCAATTACAAATTGATAACCCATTATTTACACTCCAAACTAGCATTAACATTGACCCCGATTCGAATTTAATCGCCAAATCGTACATAGAATCCACAAATGGTTCTCGGACTTTCGCTTTCATCTAGCGGAAACTGGTTTATCTCGTTCTCTTTCTCCCTGCACGGCAATTACACTAATCTAATCTAATCCGATCTGATTCGATCCAACCCGATCCGATCTCAGCCGAGATACCCAAAGCCGAAGCAAATCAATCCAATCGAAATCGTTTTGGCATCGACCTTCAACTTTAACGAAGGAACTGCATGGGGAATCGATGTCTTGAGATATGCATAGAGGGGAAAAACAGGGGCGTGAGTCAAGGGGGTTTTTTTTTTAAATTGAATAATATTAAATATTATATATATTTATTATTGGTTCAAATTAAATTTAACTTTTAGAGCTTGTAGAATTTAATGTTGATTTTTAATTTAATTTAAGAACATTTCAAAATACTTCTTTAATATTTTTTATAAATATTTCAAGGATACTTGGTATATTTTATTGTTTTTTAATAAAATAACTTTCTATATTTTCCTATATTTACTAATAAATAATTTAATAATATTATTTTATATTATATATATTAATTTTTTAAATTAATATATTTTAATCATGATCCTTAGAACCCTACCAGCCGACGCCCCTGCCTGTTGTTACGAGTCTCTCCCCGATATTTGTTGTTCGCAGTAACCTTACATAATCCAATTGCTGAATTCCGTAAACATCGATCAATCGATGGCTGGACAAGATCGGTTCGTTCCCTGGCCATTTGGTTGCTTCGCTCTTGATTGGCAGAAGTGAGATGCAGGCTCCGGACGGGGGAACTTTGATTCCGTTCCGTGAATTTCATTTAACTGGCGCTTCTTCAATCAAGGCGGTAAAAATTTCCATGCGTTCCCAATGGCGCCCGGGAGGGGGGGTTTCGGGGGTACGAGAGAGCAGGTGTAACGATCACGAACGTGGTGCGCTTTACATTTTATTTAGTTTTCTTTTTATTTTATTTTCTTTGTGCTACGTTAAAAAATTCGATTCGTTGGGGGGTCACGTGCCAGGAAATTCCGTTTCGATTAAAATCCAAATTCCCAAATGCAACCGGATCCTTGAACTCGATTAAACCACTTCCTGCTGGAATGGAAGGTTCTGCTAGTTTCTCTGCCAGTGTAATGCATTTGCTGTGACGCAGTCTCCAGTGGGGAAAAATAAATAAATAAATTAACTAACTTTTGAATGAAAGGAATAACAATGGAGGCAGATGGATTTTATTTTTAAATTGTAAACAAAGTTACAAAAGGTGTTTTTTGATTTTTATTAAAATAAAAAATATTGTAGGAGTTTTTGTATTATTTTATAAATAATTAGTTTAGTTTTTAGTTAATTTAATGAGTTGACATTGTTTAAATAACGTGACACACAACAATATACATTTAATTTTTATACAAATTTCGATCATTTGTTTATTAGAGAGATAGTAAATTGTTAAACTTATTTAATTACATCCGTTAATGGACATGGAAATACTTGTGTAAACTGCAAACTGTCTATTTTACAGGCCTGCAGTTTAAATAATGTGAAAATAAAAATTAATGATGAAAAGCAAACATTTTTTAGTGGCCATAAACATTTAACGTTGAGGTAGTTGGCAGCATTTCAATTATTTTCCTGACCATATATATCTATTCCAGTCTGATTTATATAGTATTATATACTATTATTAGTTACACCTTTTAAGGTTTGATTTAATTCTAGTTTTTTAGTTGCACTTGTAACAATTAATTAAATTAATTTGCATTTATCACGATTTCGATTAAAATTTTAATAAAAGAAATTTTTTATTTATGTTTGTAAATAAATTTGTAAATGTAAATTAAATTAAATTTAATTTAAATTTAATTTTTAAAATTTTAAAAAATATTTTTTTGTTTTCTTTATCTTTAATTTATGGATTATTAAATTTAAATTAATTAATAAATTGATAAATGAACGAAAAAGAGAACAAAAAATTTAATTAAATTTATATTTCGATTTTAAAATTATAAAAAAATATTTTTAATAATGTTTAAAATTCATTTTAAATATACAAATTATTAAAAAATATTTTTAATAATATTTAAAATTCATTTTAAATTTACAAATTAAAAAAATATATTTTTAATAATATTTAAAATTCATTTTAAATTTACAAATTTAAAAAAAATATTTTTAATAATATTTAAAATAAATTTTAAGCTTACAAATTATTAAAAAATGTTTTTCTTGTTCTCTTTATCGTTTATTTATCAATGACTGATTCTCTGCTATTCACACATCTCCCACTCGGTTCAATGCATTTCCAAAGCGGTTTTCCGCACCTCTATGAATAATATCAATAAGATTTAAGCGAAAGTGATTGATTCAACTCGCTAAAGTATATATTTTCCATAATAATAGATCATAGACAGCTGCCCTCTCAGTTGTTCACGTATCTTAACACTGAACTTGCCTAAGGGGGTTCTTAAAAAGATCATTGTTTTGAACTCATAAAAATATATTTTTCTATATTTAAGAAAAAATCACCCTTAAAAAACGCTATTTTTCTACAAATTAGAATGATTCCTTACGTTTAGTTTATTTTCTATTATAAGAGTTAATTCCACTTGTTTTGCTGGTAAATTTATCCTAAACTTCACGGCCAATTTTCAGTAAAAATTTCTATCTGAACAATTTTTACACATTGTGCACTTATAATTCCCAACTGGTTTTAGCATTCCCGGAATGAAGTGACGGTTGTTGATCTTAGGTTTATACATTGGAGAGTACATGTGTCTGTGTATATTTTTATGATATTAAATTGTATGTGTTATTCGATATGTGCTATTGGTTATGTGCTATTACATAATTACTTTATATTTTTTCTATAAAAAATTAACTTTAAATTTCAAAAAATCAGGCATTACTACCCCAAAATACTATCGGCAGAATACGTGTTTCCGGTGCATGGGGTTAACTATGCTATGCTATGCGCTTTTTTTGTTGCACTGCCACTTGGGCGATTCACGAGAGACACTCGGAAACACTCACACACACTCATCGCCCACGATCACTTTTTAATTATTTTGCTTTTCAAATTTTTGCTCGCTATAGTTTTGCTATTTTGCTAGTTTGCTATTTGCTACGCGATTTTTGCTATTCGCTTCTGTTGGCCAACTCGAGCATTGAGTCTGGCTTGAGTTCTTGCCGCGAACGGTCCTATATTCTCCGATACCTGACACTGGCCAATAGATATTCCTCCGCGATCTCTATATATTTATCATCAGGTGGAACGCTAGGCTATCGGTAAACACACACACACTAGTCGTAGTGCTTATCTAACGACGGATTAAAATGTGCAGTTTGTGGAACTTGTGGCGTCACTTGAGGCCAACGCATACCGTTTGAATAGTTTGAATAATTGAGTGTTATGGCCTTGACGGGTTAAATGAGACAGAGACAGAGATGGAGATGGAGATAGAGAGAGAGAGAGACTTCCCGGTTTGCTAAAAGTGTTTTCTGTTTAATTATACTATTTTTTTAGCATGCTCCGCTTGGATTTAACAGCCCCTCTGGATATTCTCTGACTCTAATGATTGTTTTTATAGTTTGCAATTAGCATTTGTTTTAGTTGTGTTTTTGTTTTTATTTATTTATATATTTTTTTTTATTATTTTAAATTTAAAAAATTTGTTTGATGATTTTTAACATGTTTACTGTATTAAAAAAAAAGATTCATAGAAGTTTCTATTAAATATTAAAAATTTTCCACTTTAATCTATTTTGAAACTAACAAAAATGAAATTTAGGAACAACTTTAACAATAATAATTAATGAATTTTATTTGTTAAATATAAAGTTAATAAATTAAAATGTAATAATTAAAATAAATTATTAAATATTAATTTTTATTTAATCATTAAATTAAAGTTAATTTCAAGGAAAAAATTAACAATTATTACTGCATTTTATTTGTTAAAAAATAATAATAAATTATAAAAGCAATGATTTAATATATTATTATTACATATTTTAATATTTATATAATATATAATATCAGATTAATTTTATTTTATAATTATATATATATAAATTATGAATTTATTTAATTTTTACCTGTAATTGTTGCTTAGCAAATCTATATTAAAATTATAAAAGCAAATACTTTAAACTTTCGTCATACTTTACTCGTCTTTTACGAGCTCTTTGACATTGATATGAAACTAATCGATATGCTTTATCAACATTAATGAATTAAATAAATTCAATTAGCATTCAGTGCTTCGAAAAATCGAATTAATTAACATGTTTTCAATGCTTAAGCCATTTCTATGAATGAAATATGTACGTATGCTGAGAAGTGTTTCTGGTTTTAGTCAATTTCTGATACTATACATGGAGGCTATAGGTTTGGGGAAAGCCTTTAAAATAGCTAGGTACTCTTTAGGAATATTTTGTTAAAAATTAAATATTTATTCTTATTTTTTTTTACATTTTTAATTGTATTTATTTATTTTCTGGAAAATTAAAAAGGTCTTGTCTTGAGGTGAAGAATTTGACAAATTTATTTATATGGGTTATTAAATTATTTAAAATTATGTCTAAGTAATTATTAATATTTTAAGTAATTAATAATATTTTGTTAAATCATTTTTTGTTAAATATCCATTTTTGCATATTTTATTTTGCATAGATTTGATATATATTGACAAAATCATTTAAATCGTTTATGAAATAATTTACAATTAATTTTAAGTAATTTAGATTATTAAATATATATACAAAAAAAAATTAAATATCAATTTTTTATATTTTTTATTTTGCATAGATTTTATTTATTTTGACAAAATCTTTTAAATGGTTTATTAAATTATTTAAAATTAATACATAATAATAATAAATTAATTTTAAATAATTTATAAAATTAAATATATTTAAAAAAATAAAATATCAATTTATTTTATATTTTTTATTTTGCATAGATTTAATTTATTTTCACAAAATCATTTAAATCGTTTCTTAGTTTTATTTAAAATTAATTTTTATTAATTTTTAATATTTTTATCAAACGTAGTATAAACTTTTCTAGGGTTAAGGCCTGCTATAAGATATAGAAGTTTCATAGAGAGAGCACAAAAGAGATCAAGAAAGAGTTAAAGCTGATTCCACCGGTAAATCTTGCTCTACCGTTAAAGCTCCCATCGCCACTGTAGCCCAGGAACCAAGAGGGAGAGCGTCCCAGACCAAGTTAAAGTTTTGAAAATTTTCCATTTAACTCCGCAGAAGCAGCAGCAGCAGCAACGCAACGAGCAAAAGGCTTTGGAATCAGGCGACATGAGCAGGACACTGGAGATCACCAGCATTAAGCTGGACAAGACTATGGACAAGAATCTGGAGAAGCAGCAGGAGGCTGCCACCGGCGATGAGGAGAACGGCGGCGGTGCGGTGAAGCGGCGCGGTCACGAGACCAGCGCTTTGGAGGCGGCCACCCATCTGTTCAAGGGCAGCGTCGGTGCTGGGCTTTTCGCCATGGGAGATTGCTTTAAGAACGGTGGCTTGGCTGGTGCCACCATCCTGCTGCCCATCATAGCCGTGATGTGCGTCCACTGCGAACGGATGCTTATACGCGGCTCCGTGCTGGCCGTGGAGCGAACGCCGGGCGTGGATTTCCTGGATTATCCGGAGACTGTGGAGAAGTGTTTTGAGTATGGGCCAAGGCCACTTCGCCGGATGTCGCGCTTCATGAAGCTAGTGGTGGAGATGTTCCTCTGCGTCACCCAGTTTGGATTCTGCGCCATCTACTTTGTGTTTATCACGGAGAACCTGCATCAGGTGAGGGAGAAACTTTATAATACTTACTTATTTGTTAAGAATTATATTTTTTTAATAATTTTATTTTACCTTTTCCCCAGGTTCTCCAGCAGAATGGCATTGACATTAGCATGAGCATGGTTATGCTGATCACCCTGCTCCCTGCGATGATACCCTCGCTGATGACCAACCTCAAGTACATTTCGCCAGTGTCCGCCTTTGCCAATGTGGCCCTCCTCTTTGGCCTGATCTCTACTTTAACGATTGCCTTCTCGGATGGCCCCATGCCCTCCATCGCCGAGAGGCATCTCTTTACCAGCGCCTCCCAGCTGTCGCTCTTCTTTGGCACCGCTCTGTTCTCGTACGAGGGCATTGCCCTAATCCTGCCGCTGCGGAACTCAATGCGCAAGCCGGAGAACTTTAGCAGCCGGTTTGGTGTCCTCAACTCCACCATGTTCTTCACCACGGCCCTGTTCATCTTCACGGGATTCGTGAGCTATGTGCGATGGGGCGAGGATGTGGCCGGAAGCATAACGTTGAATCTGGTGGTGGAGGAAGTGTGAGTTTAAAGGGAAAATTTATTAAAAAATTATTATTTTATAATTATTTTTTTAAATATTTCAAATAATTATTAAAAAATTATTTTTTATATTTTTTAGAATATTTTAATTTTTTCTTTATTTTTAAAATAATTATTAAATATTGTTTTATTTTGTATTTGTTTAAAATATTTGTTAATTTTTTTTCAATATTTTAAATTTTTTTAAAATTTTATCTTTTATTTATTATTTTTTTATATTATTTATTTTTCTTCATTTTAAAAATAATCATTAAATATTTTTTTTGTTACCAAATTTTTTTTTTTTTAATATTTATTCATATTTAAAATAATTATTAAATTGTATTATTTATGTTTTGTTTTGTCAATATTTTAAATAATTATTATTTTTTTTTAATTTATTATTTATTATTTTTATATTTTTTTCTTTATACTTTAAATAATATTTAAAATAATTATATATTTTTTCCTTTATTACTTTTTAATTTTTTTTTCATTTTTAAAACATTTATTAAATATTATTATTTATTTATATATTTTTTAAATATTTCTTTAAAATATTTGTTTGTAGTTATATACTTTTTAAGTTTTTTTTTTTCAATATTTAAAATAATTCTTTAAGTTTATATTCTATTTATTATTTTCTTCTAATTTTTATTTTTTATTTTTTTATATATGTAATTAAAATATTATTAAATATTGTTTTTTTTATTTTTTTTATCCATATACATATATGTATATATAATTTTATAATATTTATTTTTTAATATTTAAAATCATTTTTTTAATTCTTTTTCTTTAGTTTCTCGCAGGTGGTGAAAATTGTAGCTGCTCTGGGCGTCTTCTTGGGCTATCCCATTCAGTTCTTTGTGATGATGAAGATCCTTTGGCCGCCACTGAAGCGGTCCAACAATTGTGCCCAGAAATATCCCATAACCATGCAGGTGTGCCTGCGATTTGTAATGGTGATGATGACATGTGAGTCCCAGCTATCAAAAATTCATTTCCCCATTTTAATATCTATATCCCCATATATTTCCCCCTTTAGTTGGCGTGGCGCTGGTCGTTCCCAAGCTAAATCTGTTCATCTCGCTTATTGGGGCCCTGTGCTCCACCTGCCTGGCCTTTGTGATCCCGGTGCTGATCGACTTCGTGATCCGGGCCCAGGTGCCCAAGGGACTGGGCGTGTTCGCGTACATCAAGAACATCCTCATCCTGACGGTGGCCGTGCTGGGAATTGTGACCGGCACGTACCAGTCGATCGTGGAGATCGTCAAGGAGTTCAAATAGGCTTAGGATATGGCGGGTATCTCTCTCATTGTTTCGTCTGTAAATAATGCTGTTTTTGTCACCGAATACTTACTGTATGTGAAGGCGTTGCCACGCTCTACTGTTAGTTTTTAAGTCTAGTTTGTACTTTATATTGTGTATTTTTCCATTCCTATTTTTTTTTTTGCATTTTTTTTTTTCAGTTTGTTGTTGCTAGTTTTTAAGCTGTGCATTTGTTTGTGTATTGAAAATTGTGAAAAAAGAGAATAAGTAAGATTCTGCAAACGAAAACAAAAAAACAATTTTAATAAATGATTACAAAACTGGGCATTAATAGAATAATTTGTGTAATATTTAAAAGTAAATTATATATTGTTTAATTGTTATAACAAATAGCTGTAATTAAACCCACAAAGCTTGCTATTAATTAAGTTTTTAAACTCACAAATTCAATGAAAAGAAAATATTTTTTAACATTCACACATACTCTACATTCTTGCTTTTATTTTAGTTTAGTTTTTAGTTTATTAAATTTTACATTAAATTTAAAAACAACAAAATGTCTAAGCTAAAAAGAATGTGCTTCAAGGAAGAATGCCTGGCTTATGAGTATTATAATAAAAAATAAAATTTTAACCAAGAAATTAACAATTTTTAGTTACTGTTTTTTTTTTTAATTTATTTGATATTTTAAATTTAAATTTTTTTTTAGATATTTTGTACAAAAATAAGCTCACAAAATGGTTTCCTTTCTAAATTTAATTTAATCCTTTTTAAAAATGTATAATGATTAATACACTGAACCAAATATTTGGTTCATCACATGCCCGGTCCCGACAGGCTCTTCTCCATGAACTTCCTCTTGGCAAAGCAGGTCCACCACTTGCTGGGCTTGTCATCGGGCGTATCAAAGACTTTCTCCAGCAGCCTGTTGCCCGTCTCATGGCGCAGCTGGAGAATGTACTGGCGCATCCTATCCGGATCCTCGGGTCGTGTGTAAATGGAGTTCAGGGGGAAGCCCGCATCGCCGGGCAGGTCGAAGCGCGAAATGGCCAGAGTATAGAGCTCCTGCTGACCCTGGGCCTTGCTCGTGCAGCGTGCCAGGCGCTTCAGACATTCGGTTATGTATAGCGTTATATAGATAAGCACACGGTCCACTTCCGACTGCGATTAGATAAAGATCATAAATAGTATTTGGTACATAAAGTAAATTAATATACAGAAAATATGTCAAACAATGAATGTATACAGAAAAACTAGCTTAAATGGGTCAAATTCGGTGAATAATTATTAATAATACATTCAAAAAAATATATATATAATAAGGAATTATTATTTAAACACTTAAATATAATGTTTAAATATTTAAAAACTGAAATACCAACCTTAACTTCGTATGTACTAAAGAATATATTTGACTTCCAGTAGTACAGTGACTCATCGATGATATCGTTGGCTACATCGACGCTTGGCGCTGGTCCCCGGACTTGGGTGCGTAATGGTAAAATAGCCATATTGCCCACTGTTCCATGGAACTCCTCGATTTCCGAGTGGTAGGCCTATCACCATCGTCATTTCATGAAAAGTGAAAGTGTAAATAATTACTCATCTTTCTGTGACTCCTCCCAACTCACCGGCATTTGGCTGATTTTCTTCTCTAAGTTATGATAGTCTTATTGACATAAAAACCACAAAGAACTGTGCGTTTTTATCAGTAATTCTTAGCGATGGGCGGCAGCAATCTTTTTTTGAAGTTGAACTGAGCGAGCGGGCGATCGAGGGTTTATCGTTGAGGGTATTCTTTTGTAGCACTAAAAATAAATACAATTTTAAAATAAAAAAAAATAAAAATTATAACTAACAAAAATGAATATATTTAAAATAAGTTAAACTATACTTTATAATTTTTGATAGCTTTAAGCTTCTAAAAACATATTAAATCAATAATTTTCACTGAATTAAAGCCATTATTGCTTAATTTAAATTTAATAAACTTAATTTAATTTAAGGTATAGTTTAATCTTTTTTTTGAATATATTCATTTTTGTTAGATATAATTATTTGAATTTTTTATTAATTATAAACAGAAATACGCCCAACTTTAATTGTTATTCCTAAAAAATAATAAAGTCTATTTGGAAATTTTAAATTTTGCGGGCAATATTTAGCGAGTTGTCAAACCATTTTCTTTCCAATTTCTCCACCTTGTAAAAAGTCAGCTACTTGCATATATAAACATTTAAATTTAATGGTTTTAATTTATTTAGTAATTTATTTTTCGGTAAATTATTTCTATGTATTACGTCAATAACAGTTAAATTATCATTTTTATTGCAGTTAAAGTTTACGTTTACGTTTTTAATACGTTATTCATAGTTTAAGTGTGACCAGCTGCCATAGATTATAAAATCCCCTTACCCACACTTAATCTACAGTATTATAAACGGAACATCAGGCAGCCACACTAAAATATAAAAACAAAATTTTAAAGACAGTCGCGTCGCGGACCGTGCGTTTATTTACCTTTTTTGCGCCCAACTACCTAGCCGTCTGCTTTCCCCGTTTCTTTTCTAGTGTCCGCGCTGTTTGCTCTACTCAACGATAATGCGGGCGGCTGCGAAAAATGTTGCACTAAATCGCTCATCATCATCCTTGGTTGCGACTTGCGGTTTCCTTTTTTTTGTTATTGTGTGCAGCGAATAAAACTCGTTTCGCGCACTGGTGTGCGTGTGTGTGTGTGTTAGTGTCAGTGATTGTTTGTTTGCTCGCGGCTTTTTTGTTACTACTTTTGTTGTTGTTGTTACAATTGGATGCAAATTTGATTGAGAATTTGTGGAAACAAAACAACAAGCGACAAGCAACAACAACACACGCCTTTGCTGCAAACAAGATTCAACACAGCGTCGGCGCAAAGGAAAATCGGAACACAGGAGCTGGAGAAACAAAAACAAAAACAAACGCAAGCAGCAGCAGCAACAGTTGAGGGCGGCCGTGACGTAGGAGAAGGTATGCATTAACTTTATTGTGTTATACTTCCATGCATTTAATCGTTAGTAGTTGGATATTACTTAATTTTTATACACATTATGATAGCGTTACTCCCTTGAAAAGATACAAAAAAAAAAAAGAAATAACAAAAACAACAACCCAACGCCCTTGACAGAGATGCCCAAGAAGCAGTCGCTGTCGCTGCCGGCTTCGCTGCCGACGTCGAGTGAAATGCGACAAGAAAAGCACACAGAAAAAATTATGTCAAATAAGGAAAGATAAAATAATTAAACAAAGTTTATGCCACAGCAAAAACGTTCAACGGTTAAAAAATACAAACATTTAAAAGTCATATCCAACAAATTACAATCCTTGAGTTATAAAACTAGACGGCTTTATACAGTTTAAAAGTTTTGCTTGAATATTCCACGAATTTTCTCTCTGTTCAGGGAAGAAAGAAAAGAAAAGGCAAACTGCAACTGCCACAGAAGAAGACAAGGCTCTCCTTGCGGCTCTTTTCCCAACGACTTCCAAATCAAATGGAATTTAGCCGGTTTCCATAAAAAGTTGTTCAGACGAGAGCGACAGAGACGGGGGGAGGCGAGCCAAAGGGAGATGGGAGAGGGAGAGCGAGAGATTCTCAAGCGAGTGGGTCAGCTGCATGGGCAGAGAGGGGAGGGGGTGTTAAGCTGAGGAGTTGCGAAAGTTCATGTGCGCGTTTCCTTTGCCTTCCTTTCTTCTTTCTTTCTTTCTGATTTTCTGTTCCAGACTTGGTTTATTTTTGCAACAACAACAACGATAATGAACTCCGAACTCCAACGAATGCAGTCCACACAAAAGATGCACTCATTCAATGCGTTCCAAATATCCAATAAGAAAAGAATGAGAAAGAAAGAGAGAGAGAGAGAGAGAGAGGGAGAGAAGAAGATACACAACACTGTCCACATGCAACTTTTGAGTTTCTCTACTAAAAAATAGAGAAAATTCAATCAATATTTTAGTGCTCTTTTAAATATAAATTATTTTTTTTGACTCTCTAAAAAATTCACAAAAATGTATTTGTTAATAACCTTTGTCAACAAACATTGCATCACTAATTTGGTTGGTGTTTATGTATAATTTAGCATAATAATAAGTGCAATCACATGCTAGAAAGGTAATAATACATCAAAGAATGTTTAAAGAATCAATTTGTAAGATTTGAGTTGAGTTTACACAAAAAAAACCTTTCGATATCCCATGCTAACTTAAGTTATTGTTTGCCTTAGGTGGGGTAAATAAACTATTATTTAGGCAAGAAAAAAATTCAAATCAAGTAAATTTAGGTTTTACATATTTTAAAGATATCTTAGTAGTAAAAAAGATCAAGACTTTATCAAGATTTTATGCCACATGCAAACAAGATAGTTTTTCAGCAGCAGCTAGACCCTGTTGGAAATCGTAGTCCTAGTCAACGCGATAAATAATAATATATATCGACGCATTTTCGCGAAAGTATCGTATGTCGCTTTTTTTCGAAATTGAGATTTTAATGCAAAATTGTTGGGCACCTAATGTCTCACTACCCTGTGAAATATTATAACTAAAACCCCTATAGTTCCGATAAAAATTAAGTTTCAATTTTGTCTTTTCTATAGTGCTTCCTAAGAGATTAAAGCACAAAAAAGCTTCTCCTGTAAAATTGGATTTTACGACATACGATACTTTCGCGAAAATGCGTCGATATTATTATTTAAAATTTCCTCCACAATGCAAAATGCATTTAATTTAACAACAAACAATTGCCAAGCCACTCGGAGAATTGGAAAGCCATGTGTTTATTACCTGTGAATTGGATGCATCTGGTTGGTACAGCATCATAGGTAGGTAACAGGGCGACGTCTTACGTAGTAGGTAGTTCCTGTTGGGCCACCAAACCCATTCCCAGCGACTGAAATTATGTAAATTACTCAAATTGGCATCACTGGGAGTGGAATGGCGAGGCCAGTAAATGAATAGCCAGGCTAAATACAGAAATAACCGGCGAATACAAAAAAGAAGCCAAGATACATATTTAATTATTTACCCGAGAACTTGTTCGAGGCTTATATTACGTTTTTTTTATATATACTTATACTGTGTATCTTTTTGTGTCTTTTTTTTTTGTTGTATTATTTTTTCGGCCAGCGAAATTTCAAACGCGAGTGGAACGTGTCTGGGATCAACGTGAGCCAAACATGAACAAAACAGGGCAAAACAACAAAGGAAGGCGGAAAATAAAATACTGAAAGCCAAGCAAAACGAAGTTCAAGACGAGAAACGGCTTGCCGTTTGACTTGGGTTATGAATACCTATGAATATGTCATATAATACACTATCTCTGGAATGAGGACAGCAGCTGCCTGAGAAAAAAACTACCTTAAATGCCATATAAAGTTGAGATTTTTAAGTGAAAATGCATTACAAAAAATCTTTATTTCTAGAAAAATATAGTAAATGGGGTTTAATTCATCTCAAAACTACCCAAAAATGCCTTAGTCTTTATTGTTTTTTATTTTAAGCTTGTGTCAAGACTTTTTCTTTTTTAAATGCTGTTGGTTTTTATTGTGCTTTTAAGTTGGTAAACCGATATATAATTAATTAAGTTAAACTATTAACAAAAAAAACACCTATTTAGAGAAAAAAACCAATTAATTTTTAGAGCATTGTCACTTCGATTTAAGCTCTGCCTGTGTCTCTATTTTTTTTTAACTGCCTCTTACGCATTTCGTTATTTTTATTTGTATGGGCTGGGCTCTGGCTCTACAGTTGTCATGGCCTTAAATCAATTTGTTGTTTTAGCCGGCTCCACTAACAATTGTTTCGCTTTACGCCTTATGGGTTTTAGCCGCTTTTTTTAACGTTTGTCTTCAAGGAATGAGCTTTGTTTTAGCTGAGACACGTTTAAATGCCAAAAAAGGGGTTGAACGGTAAATTAAAAAGAAAATTCAATTAATTATTATATAATAATACATAAATCATAAACATTTGTGTAGTGGTTTTGTCAAAACAAAAAAAATGTAGTTGGGAAATAAACAAACACTATTCGCAAATAGTTTGTTGATGGATTTTTGATAATTGTTTTGTTTTAATTAATTTTTTTTCCTGTGGGTGGCATTCCACTGAAGTTTATTTTCCCTTAAAGCGCTTCAAGTGCCGCCAGATGGATGTGATACTGTTGTTCTGGGGAATCGCATTTAACTTCTCTCTGCCCAGTTTCAGTTCCTCTTCAAATTTCAGTGGCGAAAAACAATGGGAATTTGCAGACATTGCAGTTCTCTAGAATTGCCTTTAAAGATCTTTGTTTATGGAAAGTCCGAGTCCGAAAGTCTCAAATTCAGATTCCAGAAATTTAATGGGGGAAAAAAAAAGAAAACTACAAAAGCTTCTAACTGAAAGAGAAATCTAGGGAAATAAATTATATATTATTATTTATAATTGTTATATTTTAACTTTTTTAAATCAACATATACTGAAGCTGTGAAAGAGAGTTTTTAGAGTATTAATTCATATTCTTTAGGGTCCTTAAACAATTAATTTATATATATTTCTGGACATTTTGCTAGCAGCCAGAACTAGTTGAAATTCTTTTTTTTTTTGTGGGCCACTGTGCGTAGCGTTTCCACTGGCAACCCGGCCAGCATATGTTTTATTCTTTCACCTTTTTTTTTATGTGTTTTTCCATTTCACACTTTGCTTTCCTTTCGCTGCGTTTTATGGTGTTGCAGCTGGCCAAAAGGCGGGCACAAGAATTTCTATTTTCCCCTGTTGCACATGTTTCAATTTTTGAATTTCCCTCCCTGTATTTAAAAAAGGGAAAACACTTGAAATATGTTTTATGTTTATGTAAAAATTAAAAAAATTAATTGGAGTTTAAAATTGAATGAAATGAAACTAAGAAAAGAAACGAATAACAGAAATCTATATACTAATATCAAGCAATCTTTAGAATTATTATTTATATTAATTATGTTAATAATATTTTATAATTTCTATATTTTTTATATAATATTTTTCTTTAACAATTAATTTCTTTGTGTGCAGAAAATTGCTTTAACAATATTGTTTTCTCCCCCATATGTGCTAACGGTTCAGTTTCGATGGGTATGTTCTCTCTATCTCTCATCGGTTTCTCCTCCTCTTTAGCCGCCACCGCGTCTTCTCCGCTCTTCGTCGTTTTGCACATTTGCATCCCGACACTTTTTTAAAACCGGACGCACTTTGTCACCGTCGCTGATCTTAATGGTGCGTCTATATATCGGAGTGTTAGTGAGTGATGAATGCATGTAAGAGGGGGGAGCACTGTAAGAAATACATATGTATATATTTTAATTATATTTAAATATTTCTTATATTTATTATTTATTTATTTGTAATGTTTATAACAGAAAAATATATATAAATAATAGAAAATATAGTGATAAATATTATAATATATATTTTAAATACTCCTACAAAAGCTAACCTTCTTTCTCTGCGTGTAGATGTCATGCACATAAGTATGACACATGTGGAGATAGTTGGAGGCGACACCTTTGCAATGTCACATGTTCTGTTGTCTAGTTTCCCAGCTGCGTTCTCGATTCCCGTTTATTCCCCCGCAACGCACTCAGATTTACATACATAATTTTCACAATGGACAGCACAGCATAAAAATGCAGACACAAATAAACAATACCAAAACAGGCGCTTCCGTTTTCCGGCCAACCATCCACATATTCCATTCCGTTCCGTGCGTTTTCAGGGCGAAAAAGCATAAAGGGAAAAAAATTGTCTGTTTCTGTTTGTGGCTGGAGAGTTCAACAAACCCCTCCCTCTTCATTAACCCCTTCAGGCCCCTCTAGGCCCCTTCAATAAACGCACTGTGCGTGGGACAAAGATGGCCTTCGTTTTCACAACATCTTGGGGCCAGCCTTTAATTAAAGCCATTGCCCAGAGTTGAATTTAATTGAATCAATAAGTTAAATAAATGACAGCCTACATAAATATAAGTATTAGGG